GATTGCTCCACCAAGAGCCGAGCCAGAGAGATTCCTCGGAAGTTCGAAGATGGTAGGCCAGCACCTGGCCCTCTCCGTTCTGAAGTCTACCCAGATGGCCTGCCTCATTTGACTGGCAGAGATGCCAAAAGGGTTGACATGGACAACAAGGCATGCAACTACGTCTTGGGAGAGATCCAGAAGCTGAGAGACAGAGGTGGAGGCAGTGTACGAGAGAATCCTGCCCGTTCTTTGCACTGGTGGACTTCAGCAGAGGTGACCATGTGGGAGTCTGGACAATGGGTTGACACATCGTACGCAGCATGCACCTTAGGTGGCGCACGTTGCAAGCATCAGGTGTTGCGGCACAATGTGGAGGAGATCCAGCGATGGCCCCCAGCCAATTGCCACCACGTGCATGACCCACAAGAATGGACCCCCTACACATCTGAGGGCATCAGAGTTTACCCTTCTAAAGAAGAGGCAGAGTACACGGCAATCCTTGCTTTCTCCATTGCAGTCTCAGCGAGTTGGTGGGCAGCCCGTCGAGGGATGGCCAAGTTGCAAGTTCCTCGCATGCCCACATTTCTGGCTGTGGGGCGACGGGAGCATTGGCTGGACATGGACCCTCGCGCAATGCGAGAGTGGGCCATGGCACCTTTGGCGGTGACACTCGGGCTGACAGAATCCCTGCGAGCCGAACGACCGGGGTTACCAGTCAGGAAGCTCGCACAGGACGTCATGATCGAGAAGGACAAGTTGCCGCACCAGACGATCTATGTCGGGCGAGGCAGCTTCCACCATCGGCTGACGACGACCAAGTGGAAATCGCCTTGGACACCAGGCCACAATTGCGAGGCTGGAGAATGGCATGCACGGTACATTGTCCATATCCGCACATCGCCGTTGTGGGACGCCCTGCATGAGCTCAAGGGCATGGCCTTAGCTTGCGACTGTCCCACGGAGCAACTTTGCGAGGCCGATCTTCTCATTGGACTCTACTTCGATGCCATGGCTCCTGGGGGCGACCCAGGCAGTAGAGGCACAGATGGCAAATGGAGCCGGGCAGTTACATTGTTGCAAGGTATTCAGGCGATCCCCAAAGGAGTAGCCCTACCCATGATGAGCCAAGAGGCAGTAGTGCTGGCATTTCGCAAGCTTTTCCCCGAGCATTGGTTCAGGAGCTACAAGTTTGCGATGGTGGAGGACCTCATCAACAGCCCGCCGTTTTGTTCCTACGCAGAATGGTTGGCAGAGCGTGGTGAGGCTTGGGACGGTCCTTTAGTCCCCCACCTTGCTGCGGGGTCCGTGAGGCAAATGGCCCGAATTGGAGATGGATGCCAAGTCGGTGCAATGACGCACAGAGCAGCACTACCACCACTCCTGGCGTTCAACTTGGAGCCGGATGATCATTTCCAACAAGCCCTCCAACGGGCCCAGCGGCCGTTGCCCTATGAAGACCTTCCAGTATCCGACATGGACTTGGAGTTCGTGGCCGATGCATATGCATCCCCGACCAAATCGCTGAGGCCGTGGAGGCAACAGGCAGTGGGGGCACTGCGTGAGCTGAAGAGACGCTGGGGGGGGTGACCCTCCACTTGAGATCGTTTCAAGAAACCGCCGTGCAGCAAGTCACAAAACATCGAGATATGGGGCTCATAGCATTGTTGATGGTGTTGACATCCTGGGCTGACACTAGCTTCCCCTTTGGCTTGATCTGTGGTTTGCCGGCAGTGGGCTACGCGCCACCCTATGGAATTTTTCCCCAGCAGCCGGCTGAGGTGATCAGCATGGCAGATGTTTTGGATGGATGGCAGGAGCACAACCAGCACATCCTGAAACAGCTGCGAGCAGGCAAAGATGACGAGTTTCTCTTGCAACAATCCATGGAGGATGCCAACAACGGGTTTTGCACCGCACCTCTGCGACGAGCCGAATTTTTGCGGCTTATTGGTAACCGAGCACATCGTTTGATCCCTCGTTGTGTCATCACGCAGAGCTCAGGCAAGCAGAGAGTGATCGACAATGGCGACACAGGAGGACAATCAGCCCTCTCCTCCGATGCCAACAAGCTCACCTTGTGCAGTCCTTTGCGTCCGGCCCAGCACATTCGTTTGGTGATGCATAGATGGACAGCCGAGGACATCGACCACTTCTTCGCCAACGATGCCTGGGAGACAGGCCAAGAAGATCTCCCATCAGCCTACCGGTATTGCCCCATGGCGATGCAGGAAAGCTTAGGCTGCGTGGTGGTGTGGTACCACCATGAATGGCAAACTCCAGCATATCAGGTCTATGCAGGCCTCCTTTTTGGACTTCCGTTAGCTGTCACTTCATTCAACCGCTTTTCCCGGTTGTTGGAAGCTCTAGCCAGGCGTTTTTGCCAAGTTTTGACATCTCTCTACTTCGACGATGCGACCATCACCGACCTACGTTCTTCCAAAGGCTCCGGACAATGGGCCATGAACCAGCTTTGCAAGTTGATCGGCTCCCCCTTTGCCGAAGACAAGAAGCAGTCAATGCAGAGCACAGGCACCTTTTTGGGCCTAACCCATGACCTCGACTGCATCAACCAGACAGGGCATGTCCGTTTTTGGGCTCGAGAACGTCTTCATGATAAAGTTCGTGACCTCCTCAATACGGCCAGGACTACGGGTCACTTCAGCCGTGGCACAGCTTCGAAGTTGTATGGCCTAGCGAATTTCCTGGAGCAGGGTATTTATGGCCGTGTAGGATATGGTGGCCTGATGGCAATCAAAGCCAGACAGGATGAAACCACTACAGCGGTAACCCCTGAGATTGAAGCATGCTTCGAGGTGATCGAAGCAGTGATGCGCTTTCAGCCAAAACGGGAGTTTCCCGTACTTCACCTGGACAACCTGCGATTCCTTGCTGCTTCGGATGCTGCAGTGGAAGCTGACAATCCAGGCTCCGGAGGTTTTCACCTCATCTTTTTCCAGCCTGACGGATCCCAGGTACGTCACAGTTTTGTAGCCAACAATTGTGCAGAGCTTCAGAAATTATGGCAGCCTGCAGACACACACATCGCCCAGTTGGAGCTCTCGATGGTGCTGTACGCCTTAGTGGAACGACCTGACCTGTTTCGAAATCGACACGGGCTTTGGTTTCTGGACAATGTTGCAGCCGTCATGACGCTAGTGAGAGGACGTTCTAGCAATGCCGACTTAGCCAAGCTAGGTCATTTGATCCATCTAGCTCTGTTTGCACTGCGAGCCCAGGGTTACTGGGAGTACGTCCAGAGCAAGAGCAACTGGGCTGATGACATCAGCCGCCTCGGCGCTGAGGACCCATGGTGGCGATGCCATGGTTTTGACTTTTATTCGTCGTACCTTCCCACTATCTTTTTCCAGCTGCCTTTCGTCGCTGTCATTCTCACCTTTGAATTCCTATAGTGCTTTGGGGATTTGAGTGCATTGGGTGATACCTGCTGAGCAGGTTCCAGCCTGGGTTGCCAGGCAGCTGACCAGTGGTGACACTGGTCTGAGGCTATGTACATGTCACAACGTGACGACCCAAAGCAAACCTGAGGATTGCAGGTGAAATGTGATTGACATTGGCAGTGCTGTGAAAAAGGAAAGCTGCGGAAGAGCGAGTAGTATCGAGTCTCATATAACACTTTGAGATGTACCCATGCATCGAGTTTGGCAGGCTTGGGTGTGCATGTATCATCTTCAAGTGTTCAATGAATGCTATCATTTTGGCTCAAGTAAACTTGAACCAAAATAGCATTCATTGCTGTTTTCTTTCCCCACCCTCCCAACCCTAAGAGCCGACCTCCCGTGGAGATGTCCGCCTAGGTTAGGGGAGCCTGCACGGCAGGCGAGTCCATAGCCTCTTTCGGGGACCCTCTCTTGGGGCGACCAAGAGAGCCTTCCCTCCCTTAGGTTTAAGGGATGGGTGATACCTGCTGAGCAGGTTCCAGCCTGGGTTGCCAGGCAGCTGACCAGTGGTGATACTGGTCTGAGGCTATGTACATGTCACAACGTGACGACCCAAAGCAAACCTGAGGATTGCAGGTGAAATGTGATTGACATTGGCAGTGCTGTGAAAAAGGAAAGCTGCGGAAGAGCGAGTAGTATCGAGTCTCATATAACACTTTGAGATGTATATATATATATAATTATACATATTATATAATGTCATAATAACGTCATAATAAGGTCATAATGATATCACAATAGTAGTGTCATAATAATGTTTAATATCCCCCTCATAAGGGAGACAGTATGGGATCCCAACCACCAGCTCATAACTGCAGATGCGCTCCAGTAATCAAACATGAATATCATGAATGACTGCAAAATCAACCATGCATGTAGATGATTTACATAATGGAGATTCTGATTACCTCTTGCCAGGTTAGGTTACCAGATTGCACGAGAGAGATGATATCAGTCATTACATTATACACTAAAGTTACAAATTTGGGGGTGCCTCCCATCTTGAGACAAGCTAATATGGGTATGATCAAAACTTTTGACAGCATACTCATATCACTTCCAGAACTGGCTGACGGGAAAATGGAAGCCGCAAACCTCATCGTTTTTGGGAGGTAGAGCCATGGTTTCCATTTGTTTTCCTAAATCAAAACATTGAAAAGGTTGGTTACAGTGTTATACTACCCCATGATATCCCCATTGCATTCCAGTTTCTAGCATTTCAGGAGATAATATGAACAAGCCCTCCTCTATCCCCCTTCTGTCTACCTCTGGTATATCCCCAATATGTTTTTTTTTTTCTCAAGACTCCAAGACCATTCAATCACCAATCCCTAGACTTTGGTTTCAAGGATTCTTGCTGCTGGAAAGTCGGATGGATGGCAAAACCAAGATTTGTAAGATTGATTTCTCCCTTATCTATCCTTATCTACAGTCATCCCGAAAAAAATAGAAAAGTGATGAAAAGTGAATCTTCACCAAACAAAAAAGTATTTACTTTTCTATCTTTTATGGGGGATGGTTTTAATCCATTTTAATCCAACCCCGTGGATAGGAGAAAGTTTATCATTTCTTTGTCCTCGGCGAGTTCCGGGGCTTCCGCGCATACCGTGCCATCGCTGGCATCGTGCTGTGCGTCACGGGAGCCGAAGCTCTCTATGCCGACATGGGGCACTTTGGAGCAGGTGCTACCGCTGGTTGCAGACGGTTTGGGAAGATTTTCCAGGGGATTGTTGGTGATGATGGATGGCAAAGGGAGACAGATTTGCATCAGAACTGGTGGAGCAACAGGTCAATTGAGAAGGCAGACTGGGTGTTGATCAACATTTTGCTCTTGCTCGTTTAGCTGCTTCTCGGGGTTGTGGAATCATTGTTTCATCGGGACGAAGAGCATTGAAGCAGTAAGTTCATCTGTTGAGACGCTGGGCCACGCAGCAGGTGCAATTTCCACTGCCTGGTTTTTGCTGGTTTGGCCATGCTTGACCCTGCAATATCTGGGGCAAGCGGTGGTCATTGCTGCGGACCCGCAGATTGTCCAGCAGAATCCCTTGTACAACACTGTGACTTGGTACGAACGGTTCCCCGGTATGGAACAAACTAGCTAGGGGTACCAACCAGTTACCAAGCCACAAAATTTGATCCATTCCAAGCTGTTACCCGGCCAAAAAGTCTGGAATCCTTGAGAGAAGGGACCATGGTAGAAAAAGACAATAAATCTACTGTATGCTATTTGGAATCGTTGCTTCGGGACGGGCGTAGCTGAATTGTCCTTGCTGATCCTTGCTGCCATTTTTTCTGTAGGCGCCCAAGTCGTTGCTATGGCCCGTCTTTATTTTAGCAGCGCTTGCAGCAGTCATTGCTTCACAGGCGCTTATCTCAGGCCAGCTGCAGCGCAGGTGATGTCAACACAATTGCATGGTGCATTTGTCCGTTCCACACATGGTGTCTTCAAACGGATTGGAGTTGAGTAGTCTTCAACTGGCCACAAGCCAACCAAGCATACAGGTTCTGCCGAGTGCTTTGCCCATGGTCACAGTGAGAGTTGGACTTGGAAAGATTTTGCTTCACATCCTTGAACGCTCTTTGCCCAGCCAGGAGTGTTCACTCTCATGTCGCAAGCGCATGCTTTGGGCTTGATGCCACGGATACTAGTTCTACACACCAACCCAGATGAGAAAGGGCAGGCAGGCTCATTTTTTGTGAGCCAAGGGTAAGAGACAGCAAGCTCATCTTTGAAGTCTGGCCAGCCAAGTAAGAATGCGATCCACTGTCAAGTCAAGGCTGTGCTCTCTCAGTTCTTGCTCCCCGCTTTTTTCACGAAAGCCAGCCTCTAGGCTAGGCGAAGTTCTTTTTGCGAACAAAGTGAGTTTAGGGGGGTTGGGAGCAGAGCGTTCCTAACGGCGGACGCAGGTGAACTTTTTCAGGGTTATGTACCAGGTGGCAATTGGGTGACGGTGGGGTATCGATTCCCCCCTGGTCCGTCCTCCGATCTGGACTTGGGGAGACTGCAATGGAGGGGAAAATGATGAGAAAAACAATGGAAAAAATGAGGGAATATCACATAAAACAATGGGAAAACAATGGAAAATTTGAGTAGGACGCTTGGAAAATGATGCCAAGTAAAATAAAAGTAAAAGGATGGAAATTGATGGGATGGAAACACAATGGAAAAATTGAGGCTCCGATGTGGGACCATTATCGCGTAAAGCACGCGTGAAACAATGGAAAAGCAATGGAAAAATTGCGGTTTCGATGTATGACCACTATGGAGTAGAAGCACGGAAATAAAACCATGGAAGAAACGAGCAAAACCATTTATACGGTGCAACGGTAGGGATTGTGGGAGGTGTATTTGGGTAAGCGTTAGACACACTAAGGTAACATAAGGGTAATGATGGAGAAATCGAGTAACACCATGGCAAAACACTGGAAAAAATTGATGAAATGGAAGGATAAATTGATAGAGACATCGCGTAAACTATGGGACGATTGAGTAAAACTGGAGGAAAAACTGTGAAAAAAATACTGGGGAGACTGGAATGGAGGAGCAAATGATGTCGAGTAAAACTATGGAAAAGCAATGGAAAAACTGTGGCTTCGATGTGAGACCATTACTGTAGCGATGGAAAAGCAATGGAAAAATCGAGGGACTATGATGAAGAAGTGGAGTACAGTAAAACAATGGAAAAACAATGGAAAAATTGCGGCTCTGCTGTGGGACGAAAATGATGCCAAGTAAAAGCACCCACCTTCGCACTCCTGGCTTTCGTTCCTCCCTTCTCAGGTTGTTTTGGGGGTGGGGTCTTCACTTTAGCTTCGATATCTAGATTTGTCCACCGGGTACCAGGTCTACATTCCTGAAGTCAACTGGCTGCTGATGACCGCTTGCTGCGTTGTGACAGTGGCATTCAAGACCTCTGATGCTTTGGTCTCTGTGTCTCGGTGAAACAACAGCCGTGCATGTTTTCCCTGAGAGCTGGGGCTGGAGCCAAGGCCTATGGCATTGCGGTGACGGGTGCTTTCATATCTACTACCCTGCTGTTTCTTGGCCAATCTGACCAGCCCACGCGTTCCTCCCCACTCTTGCTTGGTTCAGCGTCCTATTTTGGTTGCACGAAGGAGTCAAACAAATAAGCGCGGTGTACATGACGTATAAGCGGAAGAATTAGTGAAAGGAATGACGGGCGTCAGAATCGACAACTACCACTGCACAAAGTCATGAAGCTCCATTCCAAACCACGCAATTCATGCAATGACAATCAATGACATTTATATTTGACGCGCCTGTGACTTTGCACTTTGCTGTTTGCATTCTGCCGACGGTGTATCATTGTATCCAGATTGTATCTAATTACATCAATCAATGTATGCCCTCCCTCATTGATCGCTGAATTCTATAGAGCCCCTAGTAGTTAAAAAATCAATGAAAGTCCTAAATCAATACCAGTTGATTTCTGTTTCTTGAGTATTGATGGTTAACGGTTGGTCGGTGTTTGTTGATGTTGATGGTGCTGGTTGCTACTGTTGCTGCTGTTGCCGTCGTTTCTGTTGTTGTTTCTGTTGTTGTCTCTGTCGTTGTCGTTGTTGTTGTCGTCGTCGTTGTTGTATTTGTTGCTGTTGCTGTTGCTGCTGCTGCTGTTGTTGTTGTTGTGGTTGTGGTTGTGGTTGGGATTGTGGTTGCTTGCGATTGCCGTTGCGGTTGTGGCTGTGGTTGTCCTTGCTGCTCTTGCCGTTGCGGTTACCGTTGTGGTTGCTCTTGCCGTTGCTCTTGCCGTCGCTCTTGCCGTCTCTACTTGCTCTACTTGCTCTACTCGTTCTACTCGCTCTACTCGCTTTACTCGCTTTACTCGCTTTACTCACTCTTGCTCTTGATGTTGTTTTTGTTCTCGTTCTTGTTCTCGTTTGCGTTCCTATTGATGTTGTTTGTTGTTTCAATCCTCATTTTGTGGCTCAACTCCCCTTTCTTTCCTTCACCCAGAAAAAGCCAGTTGCCCAGGCTGCTGTTTGTGCTTCGGTACGTTTGGAAGCTTCCTTGGGTGCTTGTTCTTTTGGTGATCGTGCCCATGCTGGTGATCGACTTGGTCTTCTGGCACCTTGCACAGCAGATTTAAGCTGTTGATATCTGATGGGCGCAGGTCATTTTATGACTGGTGGTGTGGGATTTTGGAGGCAGAGGTTTCCTTCAAGACTTCCAGTTTCCTGGTGAATGGTTGCCGCAGTGTGATCCCACCAAGGACAGCAAACCTTCTCAAAATCTTCGAGTCTGGCTGGGTCCCTCGGGCAGCATGTTCGACTTGCCTCCTGGTTTTCACGAGCATCCCAACATGATCAGCATGTCAAGTGCAAGAACCATCTAAAGTCCCTGCATAGATGATCATAGATGGCGCAAATGTGGGGATGGGGCAAGACTTTTCAAACCCTGAGAGCCTGGTATCCTGGATTTCATCCCAAAATATCACCATGGTGTACAGAACCAATGGGATGATTGGGACGTGAATGAGGTTTGATCCATCCCCATGTGTTGGCTGCAGGTTCCATTGGTACTTTCTGGTTTCATCTTCTTCGTGATGAGTTGCCATCACAGAGGTCGAAACCATGAGCTCGCCAATCAAGCACAGGAGGAGGGATGGGAGTTCCTTTCCTCGTGCAAAGGCTGTACATATGTAATCATATATATATATATACATATTACTGTAATGTATAAATATATATATATATATATTGGAGGTAGATAGGGTTGGACAGATAGATGGGTAGATAGATGGATACTAGTAGCTAAATATATAGATAGACAGGATAGATAGATAGATAGATAGATAGATATACAATGAAATATGTCAACATAAAAATGTAGAGGTAGGTGAAAAGGTCCCTTGACTTGCTCTGGAGAGTCAGCAGTGGCAGTGTTGGTGCGCAGGAGGAGGAAGAGCTGACCAGTTTGCATTCCCACATTGGTCCCAAGGTTGGAAGCAGTCGCGCTTGGGTGAGATGCTCAAAGCTGGAAGTTGGATCTCCCGGCCATCCCACACTGGCATACACCATCGATTCCATGCCCACGTCCATTTGATCCGTTTGATATGTTTAGACCGAGATGATCATATATAGAATCATGCATTTCTTCCACAACCCATTCCAGGTTGTGGGGTGCGCATTTTTCAGCTCCACAACCTAGATGCCATGCAGAGTCAGACATGATATCTATTCGTCTATTTGTCACTGTCTGTCTGTCTGTCTATCTTTTTATCGTTCTACACCGGGTCCTTTTACCGTGGAAGTCAGGATGGAAAAACCTGTCGGTTTACATGGAAGTCGTTTACGTCCAATTCCTGGGGAAAAAGTGAAACTGGGCTACCGGGCCAGCAAATGCAGAAAAACCGACCGTGAATCTCTTACATGGAAGTAGCTCATCAGATATGTCAGTAACATATTCATCATGGAAGTGTGAAAACTGAGACTAAAAACCCTTACGTGGAAGTAACTTGAGGGTCCAGGCATCAGGTTGGCAACTTCTATGTTAACATGTTCTCCCCTCATGTTGAATACATCCTTCTAGGGCGATCCCTAAAACCCCCAGACTGACCGCAACATCATTTTTTTCTTCTTTGCATCTATCTTCTCACCCCTGTCATGTCCGAGCGAAACAGGATGCAACCTTTCGAAATCAATGGTGCCAAATTGGTGCTCGCTAACATGGCACTGCCCACATCCTACTTCAAGTAGCAAATTTCTATGTAAGTTATCCGTTCCAATCGTTGGTTGTTAAAAAATGGAAGCATTCCCAGCTTTATCTTGAAAAAATCAAAATTTCTACGTTAATCAACAAATGCCCAGGATTCCCGGGGAACTCGTGGCAAAAAGAACTAGCCAAAAAAAAAGGGCTCAGATCCAAAGAACACAAATTTGCAGTGTACCCTTCCCATTGCAACTAACATGGAAGTAAACCTCCGAATTGTCACTTTAGTTAACGTGGAAGATGTTTTTTTTGCACTACGCTAAAAGGAGGACCGAGCGCTCGCTAACATGGCACTGCCCACATCCTACTTCAAGTAGCAAATTTCTATGTAAGTTATCCGTTCCAATCGTTGGTTGTTAAAAAATGGAGGCATTCCCAGCTTTATCTTGAAAAAATCAAAAATTTATCAAAATTACTACGTTAATCACCAAATGCCCAGGATTCCCGGGGAACTCGTGGCAAAAAGAACTAGCCCCCCAAAACAAAGGGCTCAGATCCAAAGAACACAAATTTGCAGTTTACCCCCCCCCCATTGCAACTAACATGGAAGTAAACCTCCGAATTGTCACTTTAGTTAACGTGGAAGAAAAAAAAAAATATATATATATATATTTGCACTACGGTAAAAGGAGGGGGAGTATCTTTCTATCGTTCTATCTTTGTATCTTTCTACCTATCGATCGATCTATCGATCCATTCAGCAAACGCTGAAGTGGCTTTCTGTAATGTCATGTTTCTCATGTGTAGCAGCTGTTTTTTGGGGGCCTAATCTTTCGCCCATGTGGGCATTAAAACACATCGAGGTGTTTTTCCAAGTTTCACACCGTGCCGAGAGTCGACATGTTTCACTTGAGACATCTTGTCATACCATGTCGATCTATCCATCCATCCATCCATCCATCCATCCATCTATCCATCTATCCATCTGGTTATGACTAACATAGCCATGGTATAGATGGCCCTAATCGAAATAGATGGTTTACCTCTAAAAAATGGTGATTTTCCATGGCGAACTGTTAGTCATAACCAGATGGTACCTATTTTATTCCCGCTCATTGAGACGCCACGGTCCCAGGGTGGCCATGTGTGCACCGTGTGGGGCCTGCAGCGGCGCTTGGCATCCAGAGACTTGGCACGGCCACTGGGCACCGCCGTCTTCATGACACCCAAGGAGCCAACACGTTGAAGCCATATGAGACTCCCATGGTGACCAGTGGAGGAGTTGATGGATGGTTTATCCATGGTTTATCCCATGATTTACCCTCTGGTTATGTCAAAATAGCTATTGAAAATGGCCATGAATAGTGGATTTTCCCATTAAAAATGGTGACTGTCAATAGCTATGTTAGTCATTACCAGAGGGTATAGGGTTTCAACATTGTTTCAACTAGTTTCAACCATCCTTTCGGTGCAGGATTTCCATCCACCGTAAGCTGAGTTGCACTTGAATTTAGCCAGGGTTGACAGTATATCTTACATCTTTGCAAAGAACCTGGCGACCAGGGGCCAAAACCATCCAAAAACAGCAACAGCGTTGAAATAGTGAACTATGTGAATTGCAGTAAGTGATAACAGACCTGACATGCGACGAGCCTTCAGCTTCAAAGATGAGATCCACGATGATTGGGGTTCGTGTGAACAATCCTGAACAAGGGTTTGATAGTTGTGAATACGCTCTCAAGAAATTTGCAGACAGCCTTCTTTTATCTTTTTTTAATTGTTATATGCATGTAGGTATGCGGCATGCGTCACTATGTTTTTTGGCAATTTATTCAGCTGTTTCTGCACAAAAACTAATAAAATGAATGTGCACTTTACTCTCTCTCTCTCTCTTTGTGCAGACATGTTCGCAGATGAATTTTACGCAGACACAACACACACACACACTTGCTCAGAACGGTCTTATCGAGTTTTGATGTGGAATGCATCGGTCGTGCAAAAAACACTCCATTAATTTCAGAGGCGAGGGGAATAGGGGAAGTTCATCATCAAAAATATCAGCCGTGATGTCCTTAGCCGTTGAAATCCAAGAAAAGCCGGTAGTCGTCCTTTGCAAATGCCAGACAAATTGACGGAGGTACCATCGCCATAGCCAGTGCTGTATGTCCAAATCGAAATCAATAGACATGAAAATCGAAAACCGCAGTCTCAGATTGCGCCAACAGTGCAGGAAACCGACATGGTGGTTCTTGGGTTAGCCACTGCCCATCACGGAATATGAAATGAAATGGAAATTAAAAGCAGGTACGTCGATGAGCGCCCCCATCAATATCACAGATGACACACTGGCGTCTTTGTTGGTGCCAGTCCAGTGTGCATCCCTGGCACCCCCTGCTACAAAAGTTTTAAAATTCAAACGGCAGGAGAAAACAGAAGGTACAAATCTTACATCTATTGAGATGGTTCACACACACACAGATATGATATAAGTTGATATAAGTGTATATATGGGTGGGTGGGTGGGTGGGTGGGTGGGTGGGTGGAAGGATAGATGGATTCGATTAGGCTAGACTAGATTCGATTGGATTGGACCTAGATTTAGATTTAGAATGATTTAGATAGTGATTAGAGTAGGTACTGTAGATATAAAAAAAATGATATAAACATGATCATAAGCCTGACTGGGGAGGGTCTTAGTGCAACTAGCGGCCTTGCTAGGAAGCTCGCGTGCCCAGAAGCCTGAACGTCCTGATGAATGAGTTGGGTTCGCTGCCAAGGTGGGTGGTATGGTTCCCCCATGAACCATGGGGTAGCCAAATGATTTGACAGCCATCCATGTTCCATGATTTCCTGCAAGTTTCCCTTCTATGGTTTCCTGTAAGGTCCTGTAAGTTTCCATAGGTTCCCTGGTTTTCCTCTGTTTTCACAGCGACCAGCTCCGCTCCGCGACACTTAATCAGCCTGACTTGTTCCGCTTGTTCCATGGAAAAAGATATTCGTAAAGAGCATTTGGTTTATTCTGGTTGAACGATGTTGAAGTAGCTGTGAGGTGCAGCACATGTGACCTCCAGACATTGGCCATCTGGCTTTGCCCGACTTGGGTCAGACAACGGGATGGCATGCGGTTGGAGCCCAGGACGATCGTGTTACTGCACATTGCGTACTTGGACGAACCTTTTGTCAGCGAGTCGGAGCGGTTGACGTGCTCCACTGTGGATAGAGAACTAGGCGAGTGGTTGTGAAGTGAAATAAAGCAGAACGATGATGACTAATGATTGGGCAGGAAGCTTGTAAATCGGTGTCAATTTCTTTGATTGTTTGAGATGGCGATGGTACAAGCCCATGTGCCATTGTGTGGTAATAAACATTCATCAACATTTCTTCTGACTTTCGGTCCGTCAGGGATATGATTGGATAACCTCCATCTTTCACAAAGACAGAGGTTTTCTACAGCAATGTTGGTTCACCCGAGGGTATATCCCCCACAAATGATTCGGAAACTAATTAATGGCTGATTATGGCAAATTGTTGCGTACCATTATGGGTAAGTATAATATGATATTATATGTAATTATGTTAAAGTTATGATGTTATTATCCCCCATGGTTTTGTGACCAGAATGGTATTTGGAAAGTTCGGGCAACTTGGATCGAGGCCTTCACACGGCCACCCTGCGCTTCGGCTATGCCGAGCCGCTGACACCGGCGCGCTTTGACTTGCATGCGAAGCTGGCGGACTTGGCACAGGCTGGGAGAAGCCGTGGATGTTAAGGTGTTGATAGATTTTGATGTTTTATTTCCATCAAAAGCTGATCATGTGTGGTTAATAGTGGGGCAAAAAGGGTGTACGATCTAGTCTAGTCTGTTTTCTTTATATTTCTTACTGATGGGGAATAATTTGTTTGATAATGGCGAACAATGTGATTCATGTTCGTGGTGATTGTCAATTCGGGGACATATACGGCGCAAGGGTTTCCTAAGTCATGGGGGCCGTAAAATCATCCAAGTTAAACTGGTTGTTTTTAACGGGGGAACCGCTGGTTTGGGTTAGCATGGGTTACCTATGTTTTTCAGGAAGCACCTAAGTTGGGGTTAACATATCTTAATGTCAACCCCGGATTCATTAACCCCAGTTTGCAGGTTACTCATGGTACTTGACCATATGAAAAACCGTCCTAGGTTTGTTAAGCCGGGCTTGGCATCGAGTGGTATACCAATCTCGATGAGCATCTTAGTATTGTGTGCAAAAAGCATGGCAATACGTACACACTGATCAAACTGTGGGCGTATATCAGTATGTGCATGTATGTGTGAGTGCTTGTGTGTGTGTGTTTATCCATGTATTTATATTTGATGTGATTGATGAACGGTGATGAATGAATCAATGAAGTGCTTAACGACTGTATCCAATTGTTTGTTCATGTAACGATTTATGCTCGACATGGTTTGTTCGGGTCTAGCCATTTGCTCGGTCGGTTCTTGGCGTGGGATCATCACAGCAAAGCGTGGGATCACAGCCACCAAGCCGAGAATTATGTTCCAAAGACGGAAGGATATACCATACCACAATATACCACAATGTAGTTTGGACATGTTTGGACGCTACTTGGTTTTTGTCATACGAAATCATGCGAAGGATGTGATATGTCCAACATGCCTAGGTGCGCAAGGACAAATACAATATATACTATTATATACTGATATATACTGTACTATTGACTATCATTGACTACTATTGACCATTCGTCAGTGTCCTTTAAAATGTGACCGTGGCAGACAACACAAAATGCTTCATGGTTTAGTTGAGGAGATGGAACTTTCAATGGCCAACATGACGTGTCTTAACTGCGCAGGACAGAATCGCACGATCAGTCACTGCACCAGTGGGTCGCCCCATGGCAAGAAATGGTCAAGGCATCCTCAAAATCGTATCCAAATGGAGGTGTCCTCAAATGGGGGTACCCCCAAATCATCCAAATTGGATCGAATTGGATCATTTTAGTATTGAAATCCATGGTTAGTATCGAAATGGTATGTGAGGGTTGCAATGTCGCGATGATTCTCACTGTCGTCCTTGGATTCCTTGGGGTGTTGTGCTGGTAGTGCCCATTTCGACATTGTGCAGGTGATACCATTCTGGGTGACCAATCGTCATTAGTAGTATCACACATATTCCTGACCACAGCACACACATCAGGCATCCTCAGCCACAAATCCATCAATAAGGCTTCGATCAAGATGGAAATCTGGATATCGCTGGTCAACGCTCTCCTCACGTCACCTACATTGTCGCTCGCAAGAGAGTTGCAGAAGCATTTGATTTGCTTGAGTGAGAGTGATTCTGACTATAGTGAGGAGACTGCTGATTTCAAGTTTGAGCATGTTTTTAGTAACATATTGTATGCAGCAAAAGGCCAAATGTGATGCCACGGTTTGCTGGGGGTTGGCGGTTGGTTTGGGAGCCAGGTGAACCGCAAGCATTTTGTGTCGGCTGAGAAGAACTGCCTGGCGAGACTGCAAGTTGCAGTGTTTGCAGCTCTCAATCGCAGCTTGCCGCGGTTCTCTTACGGTAACTATGTGTAATTATGACAGTGATTATCACATCATATCACATCTATGGTCATCTATGACATACTATGTCATCTATGATGTTTTTCCCCTTTAAGAGCTGCTACATACAGCGGCAATATCGCGGCATGCTGAGGCAATAGCCGAGCTCCCATGTCCTTCTTTGGACTGGAGGGACAGTCCGTGTTGGAAGTCTCCGCAGTGACGCAGCTGTGAGCCAGGACAGCCTGGAGCTGCACTGCAGCTTCGGTGAGGATGACATATCTTTGGCAGCGCAGGGGGCTTATTTGGATGTATTGATGTGATACCTTGCTGATATGATATTAATATATATTACTGTACTTGCATGTGACTTTGGTTTGTATCCATATCTCGCTCTCTCCATCCTTTTTGCCTACCTATACATCCCTAAATATCCCTAAATAGATGCTATGTACTATGTCAATATAGTTACATTAGATATTACTATGTTATATTATGTATTATTATGTTATATTATATGCTATATATTGTTTAATGTTATATTATGTTATTGATTATGTTATATTATGTTATTGATTATGTTATATTATGTTATAGTATTTATATACGTGTGTGTGTTTGTGTAATGTGTTGTGTGCGCCTATGTGTATGGGACTGTGTCCACGTGCATGCGGTTTATAGACACCACCCTTCCCTCAGTGCACTTTGTCAACTGCCGTGCCTCGCCATCGAAGGAGCCTTTGACCCATGTAGCTGATGTCCCCATAGCGAAACATATCGAGACTCTCTAGAAGAGCAAGCTCGGCCACGGCCAAGCACAATTGTTTATACATTTTATATTCATATATATATATATATATTCATCTTATATTGTAAAATAAGATTAAAGAGAAGTGCTGTATATTATATATATGTGTGTGTGTGTGGCCCATTAACTGTTATCGTCTCATGCCGTATCTTTTGATTTGCCGGGCCAGACCAAAGATGTTGGCTCGATTGCTTCTGGAGCAAATGCGGGCGAGTTTGGGATGAGGATGGTGATCCTGTCGCACAGCAATTCACTGTGGAAGTTGGAATACATGAAAAACAGCAAAATATATGTCCAATATCTTTTTTACAATGAGGATCTCGCATGATTGTTTTTGCAACGGGCAGCCTGGCCGATTAGCATTCACAGGAAGCGTGCTACTAGTCTGCAAATACAGTCATGCCATCATGCACAAACGATTGAGGTTGAGACGTACATCATTTCGTCAAAGCTGCATTCCTGTCAGACACTATCGGCTGGTGGCCTTTTGGAGGCTCTATTTCAGATCGAACACACCATCATGAAACCCTTGGAAAAATATCAGAACTGGTCATGTTGCTGTTGATGATTTTGGTCGGCAGCAGTAAGTATGGATATGGATTATATCATAGTGATACAGTTTGAAACGTATGATCGTATGATACAGTGTGAGACTGTCGCGCGAGAGAGAGAGAGAGAGACAGGTACAGTATGATACAGTATGATCCAGTTGTTTCCAATTAGACTACATCCACGTCAGCATGAATCAGATTGCTACATCCAAGCTCAAGCGGAACTTGAACACATCTCACTGGCTGCTTCTTTCCAAAATTGCTCGATGGTGCTTCCATCTCCGGTTTGGGTCGTGACCTCGGTCTGGAATGTGCTGTTGTTTTTTCCTTGATTGTTCCAAAAACGAGCTTGCCAGCTAAAACATGCACCACAATGTGACATGAGAATGAACATCCCCGAGAACCCTCCGATTGATGCATCACATGAGGCTGATTTGCGCCCTGCGGGTAGCTTGGCACTTGGCACATCTTGGCACCAGATCAGCGCCCCCGTTGGCCAAGGCATCTCTGAGCCACGGGCCCCATGTTTTTCGGCTCCTCCCACACCAGGTGGGGCGATGCGGTCAGCATCAGTCACCGGACACGGAATGGCCCGAATGGCCCAAGAGGCAGTGAACAGAAGGAAATAAGTAATATGAAAGCAGGTCAATGTTCAACACATACTGAATACATCTTAATACGCTTTTATATTATCAATTCCCTTGTGGTGTGAGTGGGATCAATTTGATTCATGTGGCTTACACTAGTCACGAAAGGTCGCGTCAGCTACCTGAGTTCTCCGTGCTTCAGCACAAGCTTAGGGGGTATTGGGGGGCCAGCCCGTGCAATTCATGGAATTCTCGCCGTTATGTATTGGATATCAATTATAAGGGGGGGGGCCCCCCCCCCCCGAAAATGGTCATGGGTTCAATTCCCACGGGTGACGCGGTCACGGGCCCCCACATTAGAGGCACACTTTCCATGAGGGAGATGTCCCTGTAGTCCAGCATAATTGGTATGCTTCAGCCTCAATAACAGTTGCTGCAAGGGGTCTTAAAAAGGGTTTTAAATCAACCCCTTTTCGTGCATCATTTCACGCAGCACAAGACACAGTGTCATGCAGTCATGCTCTGGATAAAATCATCTTAGACTGCGCAAAAACGTTTTTGGTGTATCATCTTAGGGGCGCAGCATTTTGACACCACTCCTCTCCCACTACACTACCTTTCGTCCGCCTCCGCCTGCTCTCAAGTGCAGGCATCCGGCCTCGAATCATGCCAGCACTGGCCTCAGGAAATGTTGAGTACCGCAATTCAGAGTTCAGAGTTGTAGTTGTTAGAAGCCTAGCTGGTGGGCATTGGGATTATTTGCAATTTGATCATTGATCGAAGGAAGTTTAGAAGTCAAACTTCCGACAATATGGACAGATGAAAAGCAATAAAAGCAGAGATGGGAAGAGTCGGAGAGAAGAGAAGAGTAGAAGAGAGAAGATCAGAGAAGAGAAAGAGTCAGAAGCAAGAAGATGCAGATGCGCGAAAAGGTAGGAAAGTCGCGAAACACTGTGTTTTTTTCCAATGATTTGTGGCTCCGGAGGGTCGAAACGTAGGCTCGCTAAAGCGGCGAGTGCGGAGCCATCTGGCCAGATGAGAGATAAAAAATTGCACGCCGTTGTGGCGCGAAGCACATTTCGAAGTCAAAATGTACAAAACACACCAGCTCCGGACCACTTTTGGAAGTTGCGATGTCGAAAAAGTGCACGCCGTTGTGGCACGAAGTAGATTTCGAAGTCAAAATGCACAAAGCACACCAGCTCCGGACCACTTTTGGAAGTTGAGATGTCGAAAAAGTGCACGCCGTTGTGGCGCGAAGCACATTTCGAAATCAAAATGCACAAAGCACACCAGGTCCGGACCACTTTTTGGAAGTTGAGATATCGAAAAAGTGCACGCCGTTATGGCGTGAAGATGCGCGAAGCACATTTCGAAGTCAAAATGTTAAAAGCACCAGGGGTTCGGACCACCTTTGGACGTTCAGATGTCGTTTCGCGTGGCAGGCGCAAGGGATTGTGCACCTTCTCAAAAGTGAGCAAAACGTGAGGGTTTTGTAGCATTTCCAAAAACGATGGCAGGCGTGGGACATTTGAAGAGGATCTGCAAAGATGCATTTCGTGTGGCTGGCGCAATACAAAAGACATGTTCATCAAAGATGTTAGGAGGTCAGGGCGCTGATTTCCTGAGAGGGTTGCATTTTGGAGCATCAGATCTTCAGTTTTGGGAAGATGATTTTGCGTGACAGGCGCAGCACTTCGTATGACCTGGCATCAATTTTTCGTGGTAGGCGCAGTACTTTAGACAGGTGGAATGGAAAAATAGCAAAATGCATTGGTACGAGGCCGTCAGCGCTGCACTCAACTTTCCATTTTTGAAGGATCGCAGAATTGTTTCGTTTTTGACGTTGTTAAGTTCAAAAAATGAGGAAGTCTCGCAGAATTGCTTCGTTATTGAGAATGTTCTCAAGTTTGAAAAATGAAGAAGTCTCGCAGACTTGTTTCGTTTTTGACGTTGTCAAGTTCAAAAATTAAGGAAGTCTCGCAGAACTGCTCCGTTTTTGGTGTTGTCAACTTTGAAAAATGAAGACATCTCGCAGAATTGCTTCGTTTTTGACGTTGTCAAGTTCAAACATTGAGGAAGTCTCGCAGAATTGCTCCGTTTTTGATGTTGTCAAGTTCAAAACCTGAGGACGTCTCGCAGAATAGCTGCGTTTTCAAGCTTGCAGATAGCCAGGTAGATAGACAGACAGACAGAGAGATAGATGGATGGATGGATGGATGGATGGTTGGTTGGATGGATGGATGGATGGATGGATGGATGGATAGATAGGTAGGTAGGTAGATAGGTAGGTGTGGAGATAGATAGGCAGATGGGACGATAGAAAGATACATAGTTAGATAGACAGATGAGATAGATTGATAGCTAGATAGATAGAGAGACAGCTAGATGATAGATAGATGGGTGGATAGATAGATAGATAGATAGATAGATCGATCGATCGATAGATCGATAGATAGATAGATAGACAGATAGACAGATACACAGATAGATCGATAGATCGATAGACTGATATATCGATAGATCGATAGATCGACAGATCGATAGATCGATAGATCGACAGATCGATAGATCGATCGATAGATCGGATAGATAGATAGGTAGGTAGACAGATAAAGACATAGACAGACAGACAGACAGACAGACAGAGAGAGAGAGAGAGAGAGAGTAGGTAGGTAGGTTGGTTGGTAGGTAGATAGTCAGAGAAAGAGAGGAAGAAAGAGAGAAAGAGAGAAAGAGAAGAGACCTCAACCACCTGTCGATCCATCGGTTGATGCGCTCTGCCATCCGTGATTCACAACAACCAGCCTCTCCTATAGGTTTCCTATTTCTGAAACTTCCGCCACCGCCTTGTGCGGTACTACTGGTATTTATATCGCATTTTTATGCTATCTTTTGTGTACGTACTATTCTAAGAGCCATAAGGCATCATAAGGCTGCGTCTAACGGGCAATCCCAGCAGTGCTGTCCACAATCCTGGGCATAGGAAACTGCTCATGCCAAATCGATTGCTCGATACCAAACATCAACAAAAATTTTCAAAATGGTGATATGCATGACAGCTTTGGCGCATCGTGTCCATCCATGTTTCTTTCGCCAAAACCTCAAAGCTGAGTGCGGTTGGGCCTCTATGAGGTCGGGCCTCTATGGGCACCGCTGACGCCGGTGACGAACGTGCCCATGGTTGCGACCTCGAACACCCTCAGAATTGAAAATTAGATGTGATACGAGTGGGTGGGATAATAACACCATATATCTGTGTGGGTAAGGCGATCATGTCATGGTTTTTGTGATAGGTGCCATTGCAACCCTGGTCCGCCTGTTCTGAGCCCAAGATGCAGGCGGGACAAAGAAAAAACATAACGCTTTCAACCTTGCTTGAATACATGTGCATAGTAATAGAATAATATGTAGATATATTATAGCTAAACATATCTGCAGTGACCTGCAATTGATTTTACCCAGACCCATCTTCATCTTGACAGATGTTGCCTCCAATGCCTTGCACTGCTCAGCAGGACAGGGTGCCACCCATGGAGGGCATGACGGTTTTGACCCATACCATCACATCTCCTCCATGGTGTCTTTCTGGGTAGGATTGTCTAGCACCACATAGCACCGCAGGAGCCGATGGTTCCAAATCCAGCTCCATGGTTCCTTAGTTCTGCAGTATGGCAGTGGAGCGATCACGCGAGACAGTCCAAATGACCCAAATGAATGGGCCGCAGTGCTTGGATTATAATGATAATTAATAATGATGACTGGTGCTGCTGGATGTTGAGATGGTCATGATGATGATGATGATGATGATGACGATGATGATGACAATGATGATGACGATGATGAGGAGGAGGAGAGGAAGAGGATGATGACAATGATGATGACGATGATGAGGAGGAGGAGAGGAAGAGGATGATGATGAGGATGATGACGACGACCACGACGACGACGACGATGATGACGATGACGATGACGATGACGATGACGATGACGATGTTGATGACGATGAGGGTGACGATGACGATGATGCAATGACGATGACGATGACGACGATGACGACGATGACGACGATGACGACGATGACGATGACGATGTTGATGACCATGACCATGGCGATGATGAGGATGAGGAGGAGGATGAGGATGAGGATGATGATGATGATGATGAGGAGGAGGAGGAAGAGGAGGAGGAGGAGGAAGAGCACGACGGCGACGGCGCTGGCAACGGCGATGCTGATGATGATGATGATGATGAGGAGGAGGAGGATGTTGATGGCTATGGCGGTGAGGATGACGATGACGATGACGACGACGATGACGATGACGATGACGATGACGATGATGATGATGATGATGCTGATGATGATGATGCTGATGCTGATGCTGATGCTGATGGTGGTGATGGTGATGGTGATGAGGATGAGGAGGAGCAGGAGGAGGAGGAGGAGGAGGAAGAGCGCGACGGCGCTGGCAACGGCAATGGCGATGACGATGACGATGATGACGATGAGGATGATCATGATGATGATGAGGATGATGATGATGATGACGATGATGACGATGATGACGATGATGACGATGAGGATGATCATGATGATCATGATGATTATGATGATGATGACGATGAGGATGATCATGATGATGATGATGATGACGATGAAGATGAGGATGAGGATGATCGTGATGATGATGACGGGGACGGGGACGGGGACGGCGATGAGGATGAGGATGAGGATGGGTAGTCATAGTCTTAGTCGTAGTCGTAGTCAGTAGTCGTAGTCAGTAGTCGTAGTCAGCAGTAGTAGCAGCAGCAGCAGCAGTAGTAGTAGTAGTGGTAGTAGTCGTAGTGGTAGTCGTAGTCGTAGTCAGTAGTAGTAGTCAGTAGTGGTAGTCAGTAGTAGTAGTCAGTAGTAGTAGTCACTAGTAGTAGTCACTAGTAGTAGTCACTAGTAGTAGTCACTAGGAGTAGTCACTAGTAGTAGTCACTAGTAGTAGTCACTAGTAGTAGTCAGTAGTAGTAGTCAGTAGTAGTAGTAGTAGTAGTCAGTAGTAGTAGTAGTAGTCAGTAGTAGTCAGTAGTAGTCAGTAGTAGTCAGTAGTAGTAGTAGTAGTAGTAGTCAGTAGTAGTCAGTAGTAGTCAGTAGTAGTCAGTAGTAGTCAGTAGTAGTAGTCAGTAGTAGTAGTAGTAGTCAGTAGTAGTAGTCAGTAGTAGTGGTAGTAGTAGTGGTAGTAGTGGTAGTAGTGGTAGGTAGTAGTAGTAGTAGTACTAGTAGTAGTAGTAGTAGTAGTAGTAGTACTAGTAGTAGTAGTAGTAGTAGCAGTAGTAGTAGTAGTAGTCAGTAGTAGTCAGTAGTAGTCAGTAGTAGTCAGTAGTAGTCAGTAGTAGTCAGTAGTAGTCAGTAGTAGTCAGTAGTAGTCAGTAGTAGTAGTAGTCAGTAGTAGTCAGTAGTAGTCAGTAGTAGTCAGTAGTAGTCAGTAGTAGTCAGTAGTAGTCAGTAGTAGTCAGTAGTAGTCAGTAGTTAGTCAGTAGTAGTCAGTAGTAGTCAGTAGTAGTCAGTAGTAGTCAGTAGTAGTCAGTAGTAGTCAGTAGTAGTCAGTAGTAGTCAGTAGTAGTCAGTAGTAGTAGTAGTAGTCGTAGTCGTAGTCGTAGTAGTAGTAGTAGTAGTAGTAGTAGTGGTAGTAGTCGTAGTAGTAGTAGTAGTAGTAGTACTAGTAGTAGTAGTAGTAGCAGTAGCAGTAGCAGTAGCAGTAGCAGTAGTGGTAGTAGTAGTAGTAGTAGCAGTAGCAGTAGCAGTAGTGGTAGTGGTAGTCTTAGTCGTAGTCGTAGTCGTAGTAGTAGTAGTAGTAGTAGTTTCAGTAGTTTCAGTAGTTTCAGTAGTTTCAGTAGTTTCAGTAGTTTCAATAGTTTCAGTAGTTTCAGTAGTTTCAGTAGTTTCAGTAGTTTCAGTAGTTTCAGTAGTATCAGCAGTATCAGTAGTAACAGTAGCATCAGTAGCATCAGTAGCACCAGTAGCATCAGTAGTATCAGTCGTATCAGTCGTATCAGTAGCATCAGTAGTATCAGTAGTATCAGTAGTATCAGTAGTATCAGTAGTATCGGTAGTTTCAGTAGTATCAGCAGTATCAGTAGTATCAGTAGTACAAGCAGTATCAGCAGTATCAGCAGTATTAGTAGTAGTAGCAGCAGCAGTAGCAGTGCAGTAGCAGTAGCAGCAGCAGCAGCAGGAGGAGGAGTAGTAGTAGTGGTGGTGGTGGTGATCATTTGTCAGCCAGTCCTTGGTTGCCTCTTTGTTGTTTGTTTGTTGCTATTTGCCATGGCACGCTCTGAGGTCACATGGCAAAGTCAAACTGTTTGCTGCTCAGCGGGGGCCAATACGGATGCTTTGCCTGAACAGCCACACATTTTGGAACAGTAAACGCTCGTTGTATGAAGTTCTCGGTCGTTACTGACTTGTGTATGTGTTTGTGATTATTTTATTTTTGATATTGGGAGTGTGTACATGTACATGCATGTGCATCTATACGTATAATTCTATGGTTGTGTAATTTTGGTTAATGTTGATTATTTAATCTAATCACATTGACATGTTCATATGGTTTCTAATAATTATCATGGAATCTATTTGTCTATGGTATGTAGCAACTGAGGCCCGAGGATCTCCTGTCTCGCATCGAAGGTGTCCCATCATTTGGGCTACCAACTGGGCTGATACGCTTATGATTTCTGTGCGTGTAAACCGCGTAAAATGTGTGTGTGTATATGTATATATGATTTTATATATGCATATGCACATGGTCATATACAGCATGTTGATAATTGTATACAGGAGGTAGTTGATGGTGTTCATGTACATGTGAATTTTTGTGCATGCATGCATGTACTGTATGTAGAATCTCACTTCAAATTGATGGATGGTAATGGGGTAGTCGTTCCCTCCTGGGTTGGGTTTAGAAATTCATTCATAGCCGCATTGGCACTGTTGGGAGCAGCGATCGCCAGTCGAAGACATTCCAAGCTGAGAGGTCCTTTTTCAATTCAACGCCACCAGGTGTGGTCACAGACATGGAGAAAAATGTCGCAGAGGAGCAGAGGCCTGGTGATAGAACGTGGGGGACAGAAAACCCGGCATTTCTTGATGCTGTTCCCATTTGGGAGATGTCGCGTCCAGTGCCATGATTGGTGGTTAATTCCAAAGTGCCTGAAATGGTTGGTTGTTTCACTCCAGTTGGGATTGGTCATGATTTATCCTGATTGATCAACGCTGAGATGATGAGCCAATAACTTAAACAGAAAGATGTGGTCCGAAGGTAAAAGCAACTGCGTGTATGTTTACAGTGTCTGTATATATTACATTATGTACATATCTAGATATATATATATATACTATATATACACACACATGTCGGTGCGCGTGCACATATACATGCAGAGATGCATACATGCATCGAAACATACTCACGTGCACACATACAGACAATTATACATACACGCATAATTACACATATAAACACATACACAGTTTTTCTCCCTGAGATGGCGATGGAGCGAGGAGGGAGAGAGAGATAGAGAGAGAGAGATAGAGAGAGAGAGAGAGCGAGCGAGCGAGCGAGCGAGAAAATACATATATTATTGTATATAATATACACATATATATATACATAGAGGACTGCGCGATTGTTTGACACGCACGTACCTCTACATATACCTTCTAATTTAGGGACTTGGGGACAGCATGAACAACAAGAAGATGAGTAGAAGGTGTACCATTCAGCGGTACCACGATGCTAAGTTCGCCACACAGATCAGTTGCCAGGCTGCGAACTTCCCAGGCGGACCAGGGGGATCAGGCATCAGCACGGAGAAATTATCATAGGTTAACCTAAGCAGTAATGTTTGATTACCAAAGGGTAGCTAGATGCCAGATGACCAGTATAATGCATGACAACGCAGTAATCCTTCAGCACATGCAAAGTTTCGACATGATTGAGGGCCCTGTTGGGTTTTTACAGTGGATGTTTCGCTTCCACGTTGGTTTAGAGGGATTCGCAAAGTTCTTCATTTGTTGCAGGAACTGACCACTATCGAATGCAGAAATGTTTTTCAAAACAGCAGGAGTTGTGCCAGTTTGTTTGCCAGCTGCTCGCGCCTTGCAAAATTGCCTAATTAGATCTTGGAGTTTTGTGGGGAATGTAGCCACAGTTTCCTCATATTTTGACATAATTTGGGCGATGGGAAAGACGAAAAATGAGCAACCATCGAGGAAAAAAACATGACTTGGGGGGTTGGGTCTCAATTTTTTGTCGCAACTGGCCAGTTTGCCTGTAGCGCATGTGGTGCAGTCGGCATGCCCAAAAATCCGGGCCCCCAGGTGTGACCAATGGAAAATGCAGATTGGTGGTTCTGCTTTCAGTGGTTTTCCATGATGTTCCAATGTGCTCCAGTCTTTTTTGGCATAAAATGATGCCCATGAAAGACCACAAGCATGTGATGTTGGGCCAACCTTCTCTGCCCTTCTACACATGGAGCATCAATGAGCATCAGCCGCACCGAGGCGTTGAGTTCCGATACGGGTTTCTGTGACCGATGCGGGCGCCGGCAAGATGTGGATCATTCTGCTGAGGCCACAGGGCGGTTTTTGCACAAAATGGTGGTCTGCCCGCTGGACAATATGGTCACCTAGACTGTAGCCATTCCAATGGAGAAATGATGATCAACCATTGGGTTTGGGGGCTCCCCCAAAATTTTCAGACAAAGCCAGATGTGCCAAAGGCATCCAAAGGCCTTAGAACAAACAAGTCGGGAGCCATGATGGATGCAGGAAGGACATCGAGATTTGAACTCAATGCGGAAGGTCTTGAAATTATATTCGGAAGGCCGCATGCCTCAAGGGTCTTGAATCTTTCAACGGCAAAGAAATGACATTCTAAGTTCTCCTCAGGGTTTGAGATCCTTGAGAGTAGGAGCCAGAAACCCAACATCAGATTTTCAACAGAATAGAAAAGAATGCAGTAAAGCCAATGATAAACGTCCCATTTCAGATAGCTATTCACCACCTATTTCTGGCATCCATTGGGATGGTTTTGCAGTGTTTTGCATTCAAATTCCCACATCAAAGATATCCAAATGGAATAGCCAGCAGCCAGGGCGACTTGGTGCAAAGCCTCGGTCGACGTTTGGAAAGCCTAGAGCAAAGACGCGAGGAGCGCTGGGCCAAGCGATGCCCAAGCCCAACCCGGAAAATACTGTACCTAAAAAGATTGGTTGAAATCACCAGAAATGAGGAAGTCTAATATGATTTCATAATATTTCATGTTTCATCATCCATCATGATTTCTTCAGAAATGGTCAACACAACATATTTTTTTAATCAAACACCAAGAAAGCGTGTGATCAATCCAGCGATCTGCAGGCAGCAGAGCAGCGCAGGGCCCCCAGCATCTGTCAATCCACTCAGGCAGGCGGGTCAAACGCGACCGCCAAAAGTTCGACATTTGGAACCCCCCAAAAAGATCCAAAAAGGAGTAGATTTCAGTCATAAGTCATAAACTATGGTAAACATCGAGAAATATAATGACATATATATATTTATATATATATATATGATCAGATCTCTTCAAACTTCAAAAATCATTTTTGCGGAGTTGAATTTCGGCCGGGCCTCAAATAGTTTCCGCTTAAATGTTGCCGAGGTGCAGGACAGCTGGTGGAACTGCGTCGCCTGGTGGCTGAAGGTCGGCACAAGCAGTACCTGACCCATTTCATGACTTTGGACGACCAGGGCTTTGCTGGAGCCTTAGGTCCAACGCGCGAAGTCTTTTCGAGCGAAGATTTGCGACGATTCCGTGGTTCGGTGTGAAATGATGTGTTTTGTGAATTGAAGTGATGTGCAGTTTCTCCAAAATACAGAAATTGGTGAAACTGGACGGCTTGGGGCATGGTATGGCAATGTATGGCATGGTTCTCATGTGCCAAACTCACACCGAGGATCTTCACAAAATTGAAAACGGTCGAGGCCTTAGATCGCTGATCGCTTTTGGAGGCCACCCGACTGTCACGTGAGCGGCGTAGCTTTGAGGCAGCGCGATCAGCACACAATCAACAGGCAGGAGCCGTGACAAGTCGGTCACGTTGGCTTTCTTGGGGAACCAATGTTGATCCATACCATTCCATACCCATGTGTGAGTTGTGAATCCCAAGGCAATAGAAGCATGATCCAATGTCAATGTCCTTCCAATATTCTGCAATGACAGAAGTTGGCTCCATTTCACTGCGCCCAGGCAGCAATGAAGTGAAGAGTGCAGAGGACTTCGCCGGATGGTCACTGATACGCGGAACATCGCGAAACTATGGGGTCAGGAATGCTTGCAACCATCCAACATCATACCTCCGGATCCTCCGGAATCACTGGGGAGAGGAACATCCATTCAGGCACACATACGGGCTGATTAATCTGACTACAAAGTATAGCTATTTGTGGTATTGACAAGGGTTTTCTTGGATTGTAAATGTATATCGGTTTCCACATGTGTCCATTAAACCAGCCAGCATAACCCCAATTCTCCACTTGAGCCTGCAAAATGGTTGATGACCAGCCACTTTGGTCCATTTTGATCCATGTTGTGGGTTGATTGTAGCCCCAATGTCTTGAGCCATATATAAAATGCCAATCATCATGAATCTGGCAGGACTCACAACTTCATGCTACCCTGGCACAAGTTGAAGATGCATTCTCAGAAGAGTTAAATTTTCTGGGCGTCTCAGGCAGGACATCATGGCATGGGTGGACTGGAAAACGACCCCTCTGAAAAGCTTCCCCCTAAAAACGGAACCCCGACATAGATAGAAAATTTGGAAGGAAATTCTAGGAAAATCTGAGGTAACCGTGATCAATCATGATCGACAACATCTTAAACAACTTGTGCTCCCTTTGAGGGGACCCCAACATAGAGGTGCAGAAAGTCGACTGCACGAGCGTTTGGAGAAGCTCTTAAAGGCCGGGTGATTGGAGACGACCCCGATGGTTTTGGATGTTTTTGGCATGCTTTTGGGATGTCATGAGGCTGTGCTGCACCGCGAGTCCGTCGCAGAGGAGTGGCTCAAAGAGCGACAGCTCAGGGTCTGTTTTGCCAACGTGGGAGTGAAATATGGTGAACTGGGGGCATCCGTGATTATGATTATGATTGATTCTCATTGTGAGCTCATTTGTTCATGTTTTTTCCGCTATTTCATTGTTTGGAAGTTTTTCCTTCACAGGCGCGGTTGAAAGAGCAGCGCTGGAACCTGAGGAATGGTTTCGACATGTTTCGACCAAATCACCGGGCTCCTTTCCATACGTTTCCATCCACGATCTCAGGCAAGCTCACCCAGACGGCAGAGTCGGAGTTGCAGGCTTGACAGTTTCGCTCCAAAATCTTCGATCACCAGTTGGGTTCACTTTCTTTGATTGAAATGGATTGAAACGTATATTGAAATGGTATTCCAAAGGTTTCTGCCGGGGTTGAGTTTGCCATTCTTCAAGACCAACATGGCTCGACATTGAAATGTATTGTTTGTCTTCAAGGCTACTCTTAGATCGACCCAGGCTGTTCTTTCCACAAAGATTTTGCTGGTTTTCGAGTCTTCACCATCTGCCGATTAGAATGGTCAGCTTAGCGTCCCCCACGCCATTCATACATTGCATCATCATTGGATGTTTTGTTGAAAGTTTCAATATTTTTAAAGGCGGATAAATATTCACTGGCGTAAATGGTGTGCTATTCAGCTATTTGTTCTTTATGTAGTCTTACAGTCCAAGTACGAATCAACTACGGATATGTTCACTGTTTCTAGGAGCTTCATCATAGCGTCAATGTCACCATGTTGCAGTATGTATGTGTGCATCAGAGTTGGAAGTCGATCGTCCTCACTATATGATTTGGCCATTTGGCAATGATTACATTGGCAGTTTATACCTTTCGGATCCTTTCGGATCCTTTCAGTCTGATTTTGGGGTGTCATTTCTCTGCAATTTCCTGTTGGAGAAGGACCGATTTGCTGACAATAGGCTCAATAGGTGTCATGAGAAATGCTGTAGTCCCAATTAAGAGCTTTTGTCAGACCCTGAGAATAGCTAAGGAACATTAATACAACGCAATCACTGTCAGAAATATCCCAAAGAAGTCGAAATTGCCCAGGCGCTGGAGGAATCCTCCCAGAAGGTACTGGAGGATTGCCGTATGCTGCAGGTGAGGGAACAGGGGACCCGACGACCTTTTCTGATACCAGGAGATTCCAGTCGTTTTCCGGTCGGTTTTTCCCCGGTGAAACCACCGCAAAATAGAGATGCCAAGGACAAAAATTAGATGTGGAAACACCCGTGAAGAGGCCGTGTGGGCCGTGTAGAAATTTCATGAAATTTCGAAACCTCCAATTTACAGACAACACTCCCCAACTCAACCTCCTAGCAAGTCACTAGAGAGCTGCTTACCTCAATGAGCAATTTGCGCTGCTCCGCTAGTTAATTCAAACGCTACTTGATTCATTTATGATTAGGAGTACTGTAAGTGAAACTGGGAAACATCGTGTTTTGCGGATTTTGTGTCTCTGATCTGCACGAAATGAGGAGTTGTCTCGAGTCCAAAGTCGCTGGATGAAACGAAGAAAGTGTGCAAAACATGCTATTATTTGCGTGTTTTGTGGGGCTCGCATGGTTATTTCTGCGGTTTCAGGGCTGGGTCCGGGAAAGCTGCAGCCCAAATGTGCACTAGACTGTGGTCAGAGCTCGATTTTGACATCATGCACAGAGAAGCGTAAGGAACTGCCGCTCTGGTGGTTTTCGATTTACAGCGGTCAGCATGGCATTGGGAAGTGAAACGCGTTGTGACGGCACAAAGTTTGTTGGGTGCCTTTTATTTATTTTGGAATGCCATGGCACGGCACTCAGAGCATTGGAAAGAACAGAGCCGCAAAGCCTACACAAACGGAGGGGTTTGCCGTTTGGCACTGTGAAATGCAATACTAGTAAAAGGGTCGATGGCTGCTTGTCCGGTAGCTGAATGGCAAGATACCAAGGCGAGACTAATTGGCTCAGAGAAGAGTTGGCTCTGAGGAAAGGTAGTAACTCAGAGAAGGGGTAGTTCAGACAAGGGGCGGCTCAGAGAAGAAGTAACTCAGAAGCGGCTCTGACAAGAAGTGGTTCGGCGAAGAGCCGGCTCAGAGAAGATTCAAGAAGTAATCCCTTCCCCCTACAAGTGGTATTCAATAAACCTTGGTTTGTTCGTATTGGACTTTTGTTTTTTTGGGGGGGGGCCATCGAATATTGTGCACAGACCCGTGGTTTGCCCGAACTGCAACATTGAGGATGCCTTGTTGTCGAACATGACACGGTACGGTATATGCAATTTAATATGCAGTGTTTTCTGGTTTTGGATTCAGAGTTTTCAGGCTTAGGATGGGGCTTGGGGGATTAAGTATTGGGTTTAAAATTTAGGGTTTTGGCCTGCGCAGGTATTTGAGATTGTCGAAGGATCATGTTTGAACACCGTTCTAACCTTCCGGACAAACCATAGGGTCTCGCCGTAATATTAGGGGATAGGGGCAGAGATCATCAGAGGTAGTCGGAGAAGAATTGGCTCAGAAGCTGGGGAAAGAGATGGCTCAAAGAAGCGATGGTTGAGGTGGCTGAGAGAAGGGCTGGTGAGAAAAAGTGGTGCAGACATGGGCGGCTCTCAGAGAAGAGGGGGCTCGCTCAATCAATCCTTTGAAGGGGGCCTAGTCAGAAATTCCAATACATCCGGTAATCAAACGTGGCAAAGGAAAATCCTCCATGTTTACTTGATTTTGCCAGCAAAACATTCATTTAGAGATATTTAGAGTGGATTTCGAGCTGGATTTCCCAGCTAGCCATGTTTGCTGACACCAGAGGGTATTCATTCCGTCAGCCACTACAAAAGGCTCGCGTTCGAGACTTGGAGCACCACGAGACCACTAGCACGGGCCCAAGCGACTCGACCTTTGGGGCCAAGGGGATGCCCTAGAGCTGTGAAGTTTGGATTTTCAGTGGTGTGCCTCACCAGGCGGGTTGCGTTCTTTCTCTGCGGTTTTTTCCCTCCATGCGCGAGCGCCTTGTTGTGGCGTGGGTTCCAGGTATCTTCATGTATTTTCATGAGGTGTAATTGCTTGGGTGAATACCATGCAGGCTGGCTGCAGTGGAAGCGATCATAATTGAGGTCGCACTTGTGTGGACATGTGCGGACAGGCTGAATCAGCCAGTGGGGGGGTGAACGTTGCCACATCCACTGCAGCTTTGGCTAAGACGGCTAAGAGCAGAACCGGAGAATGGATGAGTTGGAGACCATGATCGACGAAGTCATGGCCGAACTCCAGGGCTAGTCACAGCTCCACAGCCCGAATAGCCCGACGGCGCGACGGCGGATCATGCATCGGAGCTTTCGCTGTTTGTGATTTGTCACTTAGAGCCGGCTCCAATGTGATCTTAGTTTACCTAGCTTACTTTTCTACAATTTTCTACATATGTCTCCTCTTGAAAACCAAGCAGGGGAAGTCTGGAGTTGTGACTTGGGTGCATCGTGGTTCATCCACGCATCCTCTCAGCAGCTCTGCTCTAGAGTCTATAGAGGACAGAACTGATTGATACAAAGTAAAAGTATGCTTGCCTCCTCTCATGATCATGAAATCCCTCAAACTTTGATGGGTGACAGAAGGGGACAAAAAGGAACGAACCCTTTCAGCTTCCTCGCCTAGTTTTTTGTTTGGGTGACTGAGATGTTGCCCGCATCTTGGCAGCTTTGGCTTTGAAAGTCTGATAGGGACAGAGATTCAAAGTGACCACGGAAGTGGATGTCGCGAGCTTCCTGGATATTAGGCCTGCAGGTCAAAATCCAGCAACATTCAGCCAAGCTGCCAGTGATGTTCCCTCCAGCAGTATGTCCATGGGCTCATTGAAAGGATTGGATAGGAATGCAAACTGGTTTGGGGCATCCTTTTTCCCATTGGTTGGTTGATTAGTACAGTAGCCGATCCCCGCTTCACAACCAACGGGGACTTGATGCGGAATCGTTAGTGTTGTTGATACACCAGGGCAGTGGAAACCGCAGCTGCGCACGTTTCAGCCGGTGTTTCTTGATGCCATGCAGCGCCATGTTGGCATCAATCAAGCCTTCCAGGAGGCCGAGCCGCAGATGATTTCAGCCTTGAGAAACGAAGCTAGCAATGGACCTATGAAAGTCAAATAAGATGGCGATGCTCAATGATTTTCATGGAATAGGAAAATCAGTGACAGAAATTGGCAAAAGGACTATCTACATACATTATATATATATATATACATAGACCAGATTGCAATGTGTATCGAAAAACAATGGTGTTTGGTTGCGGCACCACTTTGGAGCAGCCCCGTCAGGCAGGCGTTGGATATGGAAGTCTCCTGATCATTTTGATCGCTGGCATGACGCTACTCCAGAAAGCTAGTTCATGCTGTTTCCTTGCTCTGGCTGGTAAGTACCCAGCTCAAAACCCTGGGTTTAGTATTGGACCTATTCATTTTGGGGCCGGTCCATTTCTGGTGATAGTATGAGTATTGGGGGGATGGGATTAGTTCCATCTTTTGGGCCTCCGGGTGTTGATTGTGATGCTGGTTGGCTCATGGCATTTCCAGGCTCCAGTTTGCAGATGTTTCCACAATCTGGGGATTTGCCAAAATCCAAGACATCCATGAGAGTCGTTTTCTCAGGGGAAACCAAATGACACCAATACTTGGGCATCCTCAATCTTCAGACTTTTGAACACTACCCGTGGGTTGAACATACAAGTAGGTCCTGCATACAAAGTGACCCAAGTCATCCCAAATTGCCTGATACTTCAGGGTGTTTGAGCCCCCCACCCGGCACCTGCAAAAGCTGCAATGCTTTCAACTTCGAGGATTTTTTGTGCCGACTCAGCCGAAATCAGTCTCATCACGCACCTGGGCGGGCAAGATGGTTTTTTCCCCTTCTCACCGGGGATTTTGCTTCCCCATCCCAGGTAGCAAGCAAGCAAGCTAGCTAGCTAGCAAGCTCTCCAGCGATGTTTTTTTCCCATTTGACTGCTACTTCCAAAAGTTTGCGGAGTGTGGCCAGCAAGCTTTTTTCCATTTGCATTCAAACAATATCAGATTTAATCGTGGAAATTCAATAAAACCTTAAACCAATCGTAGATATACCCTCAAACCAACTTTCTAGAAGAACCACAACCCAAACCTTAAATAGAAACCCCAAACCAACGTTAAACAATGTGTTAAACCAACATAAACCAACTGTAATCACAATCCAACTTTACTCAACAACTTTATCTTTTACACAAATCTCAACTAAACACTACATCAAGCCTTAAACCAATCTCAGACCAACCCTAAATAAAAGCACAATTAAATTTTAGATAGACCTTAATTCAAACGTAAATAAATCGTGAGCCAACCTTACAGAAAACCGTTAACCAACCCTAGACAAAAACATAGATGGACCCTGAATAAAGCACCGACCGCGCTGAAATACAATCTTACAACACCAAATAACCGTCAATCAAATTTTCAATAAACCCTAAACCAACCCCAAAGAAATTAAAAATCAACCCTAAATAGTTCTTAAGCCAGCAACAAATAAAGCCCCAAACCAACCTTAAACTGAATCGTAAACCAACTTGAAATAAGACCTTAAACTGGCGCCAAATCAAACCTAAACCATTTTGACTTGAATTGGTCCTCAAACCAGCGTTAACAAAAACCTAAACAATTGTAAGTAAGTGTCCAACCAACATTCAATAAAACCTTAAACCAAACTTCAAGAATCACTAAACCATCCTTAACCAAACCCTGAACCAACCTCAAGTTAACTCTAAAGGCCCTAAACCAACCATTAAGAAAACATTAGTCCAACCCCAAATAGACCTTAAAGCAAACCTATGTAAATAATAGATTTTAAAACAGCACAAAGGAACTTACAATCAAACCTAAAATCAACCCCAAACCAACTTTAATTCTTCAACCAACCTTAGATAAACCCTGAGACGAGCCAACTCCAAAGCTCCTAGACCGTGGACCATAGATAAACCAAACCGACAAGCCTTGAACCAAACCCCAAACCAACCCCAAATAAAACCGTAAGTTCGTTTTCAACAAAGCCTTACACCAACATTAAGCCAACCAGCAAAAAAGGACTAACCAAACCCTGAATCAACGCTGCACCGACCCCAACGAAAGTGCAAACAAATCTAAAAATCTAACCCAAACACGCCCGAAATAAAAACCGAAATATGTGCTGAATCTACATTACACCGACATTAAACAAATCCGAAGTAAACCTAAATTAAGCTCACACTAAACCAAACCAAATCAAACCAAACCTTCAATCGAGTGTCAATAACACGTCAAAACGACCCTGAATACAACCCTAAACCAATCCTTAATAAAACCTTACACCAGCCCTAAGCCAGCCCTAAACAGATCCTAAATAGTAAAAAACAATCCAACGTACCATGAGCCAACCCGTTAGAAAGGCAACTTAATATAAGGGTTAGGCGTGGTCGTGCTCAGAAACCAACTTTAAACCGACCTGAAATAATTTACCACTATTTACCCAACCCAAGATACCTTCAACCAACCCTAAACACACATCATAGCCCAACAAAAATTCTAGCTGAACCAACCCCAAAACGGCAAACTAATGCAGGCAATGTACAACTGGCAGCTGCTAGCTCCAAAAATCTCCGATTCGCAGCAGAGAAAGTTTCTAGCTCCCGAGGGCTGCATTCACGGCCAGGTTCTAGCCTCAAAATGCTGCAATTGCCATACGTAGAATCGTTCCCTAAATGTTGCAAATACTGTCAACATGGCAGCTTCGAGAATTGATGCGGCGTTGAGGGAGAATTAAAAAACGGTACCGGTTGTCTCTGCTGCACTGGTTTGTTTCCAGTTCGAAGCACATTGAACCCGTTCTCGTTTGGTTCTTGCAATTTTAATTATGTACATATCATATTATATATATATATAATAAGTGTTTATGATTTACAAATACGTATCAAATGTACACCATTGTACGCCTATGTATACAGACACATGTGTGAGAGCGTGTGTGTGTGTGTATGTGTGTGTGCGTGAATGCTTGCGCATCGGTTTGGTAGATGGCACAATTTAATGTGTTATGGCCAAAGATCCTGGGATGTGAACTTGCACTTGTACCATTTGAAAGCATTCAAAGTGACATGATGAACTGCAGGGCCAGTTTGAAGCCATAGTGAGTTTGTGTGTGCTTTTGCACATCAAATGCGGTTTGAAGAATTGACACTGGGACGAATGACCCAGCTACATGCATTCTGTGTCCTTCAGGTACATGATCAAGGATGTGCAAGAGTCATTTGGGCTGTCGGACGCAGAGGTAATTTTGCTTGAGCAGGTGCGAGCAGATAGTGAAACAGGGAGCGTCCTTGTGGGATAGTCAAAGGGCCAAAGAGAGAGAGAGAGAGATGACGAGATGACAAGATGACAAGATGACATCCGAGCGAAATGAACAGAAGCGCTCGAGTTCTTTTAGCGCATGGAGTGCGAAAGGACGTGAAATGAATTCTCCTTGGTGTGAGTGGCCAACTGATGTTGCAGAGTAAATCAGGGCAGTCTCCAGGAAAAAAGATTCAATGGAAGGAACCAACCCGCTGTCGAGCGGTACATACTGTACCCTGGAACAAGGCGAGTGTCTCTAGAAATGGAAGCGAATGAGTTACAGATGCTTCGGCCTCTCAATTTTACCACAAGATGGGGCCCCCCTAGCCCTGGATAGCAAAGTCGGTTTATACGGTTTATAAGTAGGTTAGCTATGGTTTACGCATGTTTATGGCAAATATACATACACAGACACACCCACACACGCACACAGATTTATGTGGATATTATATATATATATATATACTTTTTGAATTGTGGTGTTTGTAAATTTATAAACCAACAAACACAACTAGGCATCATGGGAATCATCTTGCAGGCGGTGCAGAAATCCTCCCAGCCGTCAGGTGGCCTTTGCTGGTCAATTGCTTGGACCTGTTTGGTGGGGCCGCTGGGCCGATTGCTGGGGCCGTCGGCCTACCATCTTGCTCCCTGGCGCTTGGACCAACGCTGATGGCAACACATCACACTGATCAAGTAATCGGAGCAATGACGAAAAGGATTTAAGAAGAACAATCCCAATGATATACAATGATCATGTTTTGAGGGGTTAATTGACATGAGCTGCATCCACAGGGGATTAACCGCGAGCTGGATCACAAGCTGGATGTGGGAGTCCCTATGCCAATGCAGTTGGGGATCCATCTAATTTGACTATGTCCTACGCCCCGGATCATGTCAGTAGCAAGGCTGTGTGCTTGCACAGTCATGGGCAGCTCGGACTGTATTGGTGCCGGACAGTTGCTGATTTAGATTTCGACCAAGCGTCCAATTGGAAGTCCCCAATTTCGCTACGCACATCAAGTCGTCTAGACATGCCGTTCCGTTTTCTTTGTTGCCGAGGGCACATGTTGTCCGGTTGAAAAGCAGTTCACGGTTGCTACAGCAGATGGTCTGATGCTGGCAGTTGATGCAATGCTCATGGCTGAGGATTTGGGATCATAACCGCCTGCGCACAAACCTTCTCGCAGCTCATGGTGGTTCGAAGCTCAGTGGATTGACGCTGACCTTTCTACGCTGAGTTGTCAGATGTTGTCCCACTTCCGAGGCGCGGGCAGGCGTTGGCTTCGGCATTTCCGGCATCTTCTTGAGTGTGGATATTGCCTGCGAACTGCTTCCCAAGGAGCCATGAGCAGCCATTAGCAATCACTTGATATCACTAGCATTTCACTAGCACCAATAGAAACTCAAGTGATGTGACGATGCAGCAGATCCTGCGTATGCGGCCTTTATTACCTGCCTTGAAACGCGTTCCCTATTTGTTGCAACTCCCACAGTCGAAAGGCAACAAATGATACATGGGTACTTGACTATGCTCGATATCTTCTTGTCCTGTCTGATGGAAAAGCACATGCAGTTACTAGTTTCCTCAGCAGCTGTGCAAAGCATGTTTGCCATAAAATGTGAGAATAACGCCCAGCAAGTGCATTCTGGAACGCTGGGGAAATTACTGTTTTTCCTTTCATCATCTCAAACCCGCTAATGACGCTAATGCCCGAGAGAGTTCAAGAAGGGTTGGCCAAACACGTCGCAGGAGAGTGCTGGAAGATTAAGTAGCGCCTTGAACTTCTTCTGGCCCTTTGGTCCGGAGCCAAAGTAGTCAAGTGATGTCAAGTGGTCAAGTGATCAAAGAATGTTAATCACTTGCCATTCGCAACTGATTTCCGAAGCTAAGCATGATATTTTGAATATAAAAAAGAAAGAAAAAATGATAAACTGTAACTAATTCATATATATATAATTTATTTATTTATCTATTTAATTAATTAATTATATAATGTATTTATTTATGTACAGTAACCTGTCTTTCTTTCCAGACTTCCTTGGTTTTGGCCGCGATCTCCCAAACCACATCCTGGAAAAAACCTGCAGGTAGTGTGTTTACGATCCTGTGCGCCTACCACATCTGGGGCTGGCGATGCTGGGCTGAAAGTCTGTGGTGAAGGCAATAAGCAGCAACGTTTTGGGTGTGTAGTGTTTAGTTGCTTTTAGCACCTCCCAGGGACCCAGAGGGTAAGATTAGCTATATTGGGATATATTGGGTATTGTTGATTTTTGGTTTTACCGGATCTATACTCGGCATGAGTCATGTGAAAAGAAGAGTGGAACGCATGGTGTTTCGGAATTGGGCCGATTTCTTAGGAGGGCTCGCTTGCTGCGCAGCCTTCCCAATGTTTTCCGCGCTGGGACTGGCCTATGCATTTCTCCCTGAGCTGCTTGGCAGGGGGTCACATCAGTCATTCAAGGCATGGTCATATTATGATTATTATGGCATATTATGGCTATGATTTCAACATCCGGACATGTTACATGGCTCCATGTCAAACCCCATAATTTCATAGAATTGCCATGTGTGTAAGACTGTGGAATGTCTGAGTTGTAAGTTCCCTTGGTTCATATTTATTATGTTTCATTTGCGCTTATGTGCAATCCCACAATCCTAATATTTGATACCCAGCAAGCGAAACCCTGCTTTCAGGTCGCCGCATTGGCTCTTGGAGCAGGGCCGCAAGGAGGAGGTGCAGCCTGGGAATGACTTGATTTACCATAGGATATGAATCGAGTGGTCAAAACCGGGGACATGAAGAATATGCCAGATATACAAGGTAAGTTTTGAGCTTTTCGGTTGGGTTGTCAAAAGGTTGCAATCAGTGGACCTGAGTTGAGACAAACAGCAGGGGATTCCACACAGGAAGCGCTGGAGGGGATCTCTTTCAGCATCGCCTGCGCCAGATGGCACCTGTCAAAGCTTCAGGCTATGCAGAGTATCCAGCACCTTGCACAGCTGAACGGTGTGTGGAAACCAAGATTTTTGGATGTGGGTGTGTCCAAAAATGTTGAGGGATACCCCGAAAGAGCTATTTCAATATATTTAAAGGGTAAAATCCTGATAAACCATCATTTTGGGGCACCCTATTTTCAGACAAACCATGACAAACCCATATTACTGGACAGAATGTTGGGAAGTCGGGGGGGGGGGGCGTTGCCTTGCATGTTGCCAGCGACATAACCTGTTGTCCAAGAATGATATCCTCCCACACAACACCCGGAAGACCTATTCCTCGACCTACAGATAGATTACATGATTTACATGATTTACATGTGTGTGTGTGTTCACATGATTGCAATATGCATCTCAGTCAATTTCCATGTTTCATATTTCACGGTGTTCATTCAGCTGGCGCAAGGGTGCGCAAGGATTGTAAGTTCCTTAGGACAGATATGTTTGGGTCCCCCACTGGGGCTGCCACAGGTGAAGCTCTCTTTCGAGGGGCTGCGAAGCTCCAAAATAGCACCAGCAGAGCAGGCCATTTGTTTTGAGCAGAGCAGAGCAGGCAAAGGTGAAAGGTTGACTCAGGATGATTCATTGAGGTTGGATGTTTTGTGCTGAACATGTTCCAAGGTTGGTCAATGGATGTCAATGGCATGGAAGTTTAGATTCCAGACATAGGGCGATACATCGCCCAGTCACGCCCAGTCGTAGTGGTCATCCGATCGTCTAGCGACACAGGCAGGGTCCATATGGAGGCGGCAGCAGCGGAACTTGCTGATTCTCATGTCCCTGTGGTCGCTGGGCATTCGCTGCGGGCTGAAAATTTCCTGGGCATGGGAAATGGTAGGTACCAGCTTGTACCAACCAACTGATGCCAGGGTTGCTTACAAGGTGCACGCCGGAAATTTGGAATGGAGCCCACGAAGCCGGTTTGGAACAGTTTGAAGTTTGAGGGAAGAGCCTCCAAATTAGAGAGCGAGAGAGAGGAAAAAAAATTACTTTACTTCGTGTGATCCCCACCATGACATTTATACATTTTCTTACTGGCAAATCTTCTGGCATTCTATCTGACATATCTTCTGACATTCTATTTTGCATTCTATCTGGCATATCTTCTGGCATATGATCTGGCATATCTTCTGGCATATCTTCTGGCATTCTATCTGGCAAATCTTCTGGCATTCTATCTGGCATATTCTTCTGGCACTCTATCTGACATATCTTCTGGCATTCTATCTGGCATATCTTCTGGCATATATTCTGACATATCTTCTGGCATTCTATCTGACATATCTTCTGGCATATATTCTGACATATCTTCTGGCATATCTTCTGGCATATCTTCTGGGCATATCTATCTGGCATATCTTCTGACATATCTATCTGGCATATCTTCTGGCATATTTTCTGGCATTCTATCTGGCAAATCTTCTGGCATTCTATCTGGCATATCTTCTGGCATATTATCTGGCATTCTATCTGGCATATCTTCTGGCATATATTCTGACATATCTTCTGGCATTCTATCTGGCATTCTATTTGGCATTCTATCTGGCATATCTTCTGGCATATCTTCTGACATTCTTTCTGACATTCTTTCTAACTTTCTTCTGCACATTCTTTGTCCCATATCTTCCGACATGAGGTCCGGCAGGGAACACTTGGCGTGGATACTCGCGGTTGAGGTCCGGCAGGGAACACTGGGCGTGGATGGTCGTGGTTGAGGTCCGGCAGGGAACACTGGGCGTGGATGGTCGTGGTTGAGGTCCGGCAGGGAACACTGGGCGGGGATACCCGCGGTTGAGGTCCGGCAGGGAACACTGGCGGTGATGGTCGTGGTTGAGGTCCGGCAGGGAACACTGGGCGTGGATGGTCGTGGTTGAGGTCCGACAGCGAACACTGTGGATCGCGGGTCGCAGTTGAGCAAGGACGACGAGGACGACGAGGACGACGAGGAGGACGAGGAGGAGGAGGAGAGGAGGAGGAGGAGCAGGAGGAGGAGGAGGCAACCGACATAAAATCTAACAACCCTCACCTGGCAGGTGGGGAAAAAAGAGAAAGAGAAAGTACGGCCATTTGGGTCCATCTAGGTGGGTTGTATCTTATTTGTTTGGTTGGTCCAGTAGGCGAGACTCCACATGTCCAGCTGGCTGGTTCTCAGGCTTTTTATGGCCATGGTACCTTGGCGCTATGGGTTGAGTGTCTCTACACCCATGTGGACATGTCATGCAGACATAAAGGCATATGGGCGGGCGCAAAGACAGAGGTATTGTTGGCACATGTTGGGCCCCCACTCTCACAGAGTTCCCTTCAACCGCTGTGTTGCTGAGAACTACCTGTGCATCGTTTTGTCGAAATCTCAGCTGGACTTGGAGGCTTTATGTTGGTGCAAACGACGTTGGTAAGCCTGAGTGATGAATGGGGTTGCTTCCCGCGAAATCCCGCGAAAAACACTGGGCCGGCAATAAAGCTAGACAGACGATAGATGATAGTTTTATCAATCCAGTAACCTGATGGATTTGGGTCGCAATAGTTTTTGTTGTCACTGGAGAAGACTGTTTTGCCTGTGAACAGAGTGGATCCATTTGAGCTGGTTGAGGTTGGGGCCCATGGTGCTGACAAAGACGGTGAGGAGCCCCAGAATTTCCATTGGTGTTTGAAGTGTCCTTACCCTCTGGTAATTTATCATAGCTATGGAAAATGGATGAAAATGACCATTTATGGTTGAATTATGTTGAATTACTATACCTATTAGATCCTATTAGAAGTTGTGATTTTCCATAGCTATGTTCAATTACCAGAGGCTACCCCATGGTTTTCCAATGGTTGCAGCGATTTGAAGCCGCCCCAGGTAGTCCAGGATGAGCCGAATGCTGTGAGACAGGACATCCCAAGGGGTTACCGAACCTTGGTTTCAAATATGTGTTTATGTTCAACCCATTTCAACCCCATGTATCCCCATGTGGGATGATGATCTCAACTGACTATGGGATACAAATATTATATTTATACAAATATATACAAATATTATATTTATATATGCATGTTATATGGGGTTAAAGCCACCAGCAAGATACATAAGTTAACTATCCATGCTTGTTCATGTTTCCTGCCCGAATATCCTCGATCTCAGCGCAGGACATGGATTTTTTTGCCCTAAGCATCTCTTCTGCTAGCGAAATCCTTTCGGCTGCCCGGATCTTGTTTCAAATGTCGCAGGATGCAGTTGAAACTTGGAACATCCCAGAACCTGCAGATGATATTATTTCATGTTATTTCATTATTTCGAATGAATAGAATGAATGAACATGGATGAACACAAGATAAAATACATAAGATAGCTGTTTAGAGAGAGAGGGCGGGTCTAAGCCAGATTCGAGATGTGGTTTGATTTTTGTCTTTCACGATGTGTCATGCTTTCTCCATGGGTCATCATTGGTCTCGCTCTGGAAAGGTTGCATTGTGCATTTTGCTGGTGGATCGCTGGGGGCGACGTCACTTCCAAGCAGTCCTTTATTCAATAGCAGGCACCAGCTGAATTGCCAAGATATCCAAGATGACCAAGCAGCAAGTTCACTAATGTGGGAAACCGGGAAACCCAATGCCATAAACCTACCATTTAAGGATGGTGTATAGCACCCATGGTGATTTAGGGGATGGTTTGCCATTAGCTGCCGCAGTGCTGGCGCTACCTCCACTTAGGAACCAAGGTTCAAAATTTGGCTGCCAATGGACCCGCGAAATTAGTTGGTGTTCGTGTTCTTAAACGATCAATCTATCTATTCCAAGTGATTTTTATTTGCACATAAAATGATTCGAGATTATCTCTATTGTGGGGAACCCCCAAGTAATTGCCCTTGAGTCAGGAAATGAAGATAGATGTGGATGTGGAATGATATAGATACAGACATATTACACAAACCCCAAATGATAGTATATCATTTCCAGGGGAAACCATGGATTTTCCATGATTTTCCACACCTATTTATATAACTAACATTATATGACTCCGCGTTTTCTATTTCTACGGATTTTCCAAGATTGTTTTTCATGTCCTGAAATCCTAGACCTGTTTGAAGGGAAATTTGAGAACCACATCAAATAGATGGGAAAATCTATGGCTCCCATTGGTCTCCTGGATATGTTCCCCTTCCTGGCAATCCATTGATGAAACGGGCAGGGCTTGCTGCACTTCTGCTGGGCTTCCGCAACGAGCTGCCATACCCAGCAGTGGCGGCAGTGGAAGCTCGCTGAAAAATGGCTGGGGATGGTTGGCTGGATGACCGCAGATATCCGTCATACATCCATTGGGTAAGTTATAACGACTTCACTGCAACCTCACTGGAATTATGGTTAGTAAGGGAAACCATCCCCAAATGGCCTTAATTCAGTTAACCGATTCTCTCTCTTGCTTGCGGGGAGGGGGCCGGCCAAAGAGAAGATGATTGGCCTTAGTTCAGATCAGTGAAATATTCTAATTCACCATAATTCACCCATATCCATGGTATCTCCAGATTGTCAGTGTCAACAGATGTCCTGTGTCCTGTTGTGGATGGAAGGGTATTGGACGGATAGGCTGACAAGATCATGGTTTGGAATGTGTACCTAGCCCCGTTGGATGCTTTTCGTAGTGTCACATTAGTTGGTTGATTTGAGTCAGCAATATTGGAAGAGATGTGCTTAATCAAATCATCAGAACAAGCTCGTCATCACTGGTATTTGGGCTGATCTTGGCTGATCTTGGCTGATCTTGGCTTCTTGGAAGCTGGCTGCCTATAGTGGATCTACCGTTCGTGAGGTGATTGTGGCCCGTTGCACCAGCTTCTCAGCTGGCTGCGGTTCGTGGCTTCACACGCCAGAAGTCTTTCCAGTACAGGTGCCGACATGGGGACGTTTTCTATGACAACGTGACGTGGGAAGAAGCTGAAGGAAGCTGATTCACAAGCCCTTGGTAAACCCTTATGGTTGGGGTAACCCTTGGGAGGTGGTTAAATCAATCCGCATGATAGCATGTATCTATACATATATTATATCTCTGACTCAAACTATTGAAAAAACCCACGCACACACACACATTTGTACATTCATGCATGCATACTTATCTGAGGTGCTTAGGGGGAGCTAAAGAGCTACGGGTATCCATATTCGCTATTCAATGGGTAGCCAAGGGGCTACTAAGAGTTTCCCAACATGTTACAGGTCCGCGCCACTGGTCATGCTGCATGCAACATGATGGCGAACGTGGGCCGACTTTTGGCGCCACTTCTGGTGAGCAGCTTGTCTCTGAGGATAGGAGAAGCATGGAAGATGGAATTATAGTATATCAAATTGACATGTCAACAGAAGTTTATGATATGGGTTTACAATGGTCTACATATTTCAGGGTTTCCTAAAATGGAGGCTACCCACCAAATCATCCATTTATTCCATGTTGATAGGATTTTCTGTGAAATAAACTTTCCAGCTATTGGGGTACCCCCATTGGCCCAGCTCTTCGAGGCCCCTATTTTTCGCCGGCCGCATGCAGCGGCATCATGGCTTCAAGCCTTGGCTGTGCTGCCATGCTGGCACTCGCGGCGCCGGAAACCGCGGCCAGGAGCTGCCCATTCGAAGAAATACATATGATTACCCTCTGGTAAATTAACATAGACCCTGAAAATCACCAATTTCTAGTGGAAACTAATCTTCCAACCCCTATCTGCCAGGGTCTATGTTAATTTACTGAAGGGTATATCTATACTTAGTGAACTCTTAGCTCTGACTCCTTTTTGCTTTGACGCCTTTTCAACACCTGTATAGTAGCAGAGATTTCTATGTTACCGGTTGTTTGGCTTGGTGATATGACACGCCTAGCTACTGAGCTCGGGCGTTGAACTGCCAAGCTGTCCTTGGTTCGCCTTCAGCAAGATGCTGAACTCCCAGAGAGAGAGAGAGAGAGAGATCTATACTTATGTATATGTGCATATGATTATATAGGATCATGATTCAATGATGGATTTGAAAGCAGAAAGGTGCAAATGGATATATATGATTATATTTGCATATACATATGATGTATATATGCGACAAAGGCCTGGGTCCCCCTCCCCACCCCCCCACCCACCCGGCAGGCATCACCACTACTTCTATACTCGTATCTCTATATATATATATATATAGCTCATAGATGATCACCACGCCCCAAGGGGGGTCCGGGGATGACCCTTACCCCTATATACCCCTACATACCCCTACATACCCCTACACACCGCTCTATACCCCTATATACCCCTGGACTGGTGCATTACTTGGTTTTCGTGTACAGGACGGATGACTTCAACCCCAGCGCATACAAAGCTTTGCGACAAGTTTCAGGACAAGGTGCTTCGGGCGATCCGGCATTGCTACATTGCAGCTGGACCCGGAAAGAAACCGGATGCTACATGACAGAACTGGGTGCAAAATGTCAAGCCTTCAGTTGACTATGTTTTCGCATCCTTGCTGGCAGGGGCGTGCCATTGCTGATCTTCAATTCGTGCATGCGTCGTCGCTTGAGTTTGCTATGATTGCCAAGATTAAGTAAGACGGAAGCAAGGCCCTGGCCACATTTCAGCATGTTTCTGCTGTTTTCTGATGAGTTTTGATGCAGTTCCCCACCCTCCCAACTGATGGCACTAGTAGGGTCCAGTGTCCCTTCAAGTTGCCTGGTTTTCTTCATCTTCCAATCATAGCCGACTTGCGGGCTTTTTGTGCTTTGCAAGGGTGCTGTGCCATGCCAAGCTAAGCCAAGCTACCGGCAAAACGTCACACCTTTGGCCCGGCAAAACGCGGGGCTGCAGAATGCTGGTGGGATTTGCTGGTGCTTTTGGCATTTTCCAGATCCATGGAAGATTTCTGTGGGCAGCTGACGCACAGGGCTGGTGGCAGCTTGCCTCCAACTTTTTATGTGTTTTTCAGCTAGTGCAAGTGCAAGGTCCTACCAAAGTAGGCATCAAGCAAGGTCCAGGCGATGTCTGGCAAGGGCGTCAAATGTTGAATCAGAGATGGACGATCCGGACTCTTTGGCTTTGTGGTTAGGACTGGGGAAAGGCATCAGCATGGCCAACGTCAGAGGGATGCCCAAAGGTGTTTCGCAAGTATCGGAGTTCAAAAGTTGGTTGATTCAAGTTTCTTCTTAGAAGAGAGCCCAGTGCTTTCCATACGAGTCGGTGTCAGGCGGTATGATGTGCCCCTGTTTAGAAAGCTCTGCTCCCTTTCCGCTTTCATTGATGCTTCCTCCCCCTCAACTTGTTTATTGATACGTATTGATCACCGTGTCCACGGAAAAGTTTCACTAACTGACCTTTGGCGCCTTTGCCCGTCATCAAGTGGCTGATTGTTTGACTTTCCATGCCTGCATTGTGTAGCAGTCATGGAAGTGCTGGCAGCATGTGCCCCGCATGGACAGAATATGTCTTTTGGTTGTTGACAACAAGAGTATGCTACTGTTTCTTTGTTGCCATTTTGCTCCCACTTTTCCTTGACGCGGTTGGTGCATGGATACAGCGTGAGCAGTTTTTCAGCACGGGTAAAGCATTGATTGCTGGAATATGAAGGTGGCTAGAACCAGCCACCAGACTCGCTTCCAAAGATGCTGCCCAAAAAATTGGCGGGGAGGGAAGTTGTATACCAAAAGATGCTGCGTGTTTGATTTGGAAGGACTGTCCACGTCATAGTCAATATAGTCCCTCAAAAGATCACAGAAGCCAAAGTTCAAGCCAAACTTTTTCGATGCATCAGGAAAGTGTGGGCAACGTGGGCTGACAGACGGGACAACATTTCATAAGTTTTGATAGAGGGATGTGTGGGCATGCGTGGGCCAAAAGGATCAGCTAAGTCATGCTAAGTCCTTTCTAGGTGTTTGGAAGCTTTTCGAGGTCAGCGACATCATGAGCGGGCCACAGAACTGGAAGAGCGAGTGAAGGTTGGACGTTGAATGTGATGACTTTGATGTTCTGATTCGAGATGCCTTCAGCCACTGCTCACCGCAAGCATACCGCAAGCAACGGTTGAGCTGACTGTGTTTTGATTTTCGTGCTGCAAGACCCAACTGATGCTATTTCCTGTTCTCTTTTGTTCAATCTGCCTATACATATATATATATATGTATACATATATGCATATACATATATATATATATATAAGATGAATATCAACTTACAGAAAAATCGGGAAATGTGCAGAGAAAAGGAAGACACAACCAGAGGCTCCACCGTTTTGCCAGCCAGGAGCACAGCCGCTTGCTTGACCTCGCTCGGTCACGAGAGGCAAGAGCTTGCTAGGCTTCGGGGTGATAGGGATAAAATATGATAAAATATGTCGGGCCCCAGCACCTTGCTTGAAGCTGAGACTGAACGAAGTGGTACAATGTGTACAATGTCAATCATATTCAGTAACAAAGTAATTACATAGTGACATAGTGCCAATTGTAAAGTGCCATGATGATTAAACACTGCCGCAGAAAGGAGTGTCAAACTCACGGGCTCAGGCAGCACTGAAAGAAGAAATCCAAGAAGCAGAGGCCACAACAACCGTGACACCCACGTGCAAGCTCAGGCCCCCTAGACGGCTAAGTTGACTTATAACTTATATACATAACTTTATCAACTAGGGTTTATGGGGGAGATAACATTTACTATAATTAATGGGTTTATAAACCAACTTATAACACCTCGTGGGACACAAGCTGTACATATCACATAAATATACTTCGTGTTGCATCTGTTGCATCTGACTGGGTTTCCAACTGGGGTCCTGGATGCCCATGGGCTATCAGACTATCGACGGAATTTGACTCCGGTGACCGGATGGGAACTGCGCCAGGAGACATCCAGGAGATTTCAGGCATCATCGGCTCGAAAAGCCGTTGACAAAGAAAGGCTTGAGGCCTGGCTGTGCCATGACTGTGCCCAAGATGGGTTGGCTTTGTGGTGGGACCTGAGTGTTGGGACATCCTTGAGATTTTGTCCGATATGTTCAATTGTTTTGGATCAATTAACCCCCCATGTTGGATGATGTTTCATGAATTCTACCTCTAATCATTTGTTTAGAGGTAAGACACTTGTTGGATTTGTTCAGAGTTGGAAGGGAATCCCGATGTTTGATCATTCAAACATATTCAAACATTGGATTCTTGGATGTTTGTGTAGCCTTTACCAAATGTTCTGTTGCTCAACGACCAGGCTCTGGAGCAGGAGAATGAGGAGTTGCGCGACCTGAGTTTGCGCCAAACGTGGGACATCTCGGGGGCGCTGCGCGGCCAGATGGGTGGAGCTTCACAGTTTAAGTCCAACCAAGTTTAAGCCATGTTTATATAAGCAATGTTTAACCATTTTTAAGCCATGATGAAGCCATGATGAACCATTTTTTAACCATGTTGAAGCCATGAGCACAATTGAGCCTGTAGAAATTGCAAGTCTTTTGTTTGGAAAATGACGGGAATGATTTAGACCAAATGGACTGAAATCAAAATAATTATTATAATCCAGAGAATGTCCTTTGATTTGGTGGTGGTGGGAGGATGTGCTTCAAAAGTTCTTGGCAGTAGAGGTAGTCGTGAGTCACAAGATTTGACACGTGATGTTGTTTTTCATAGGTTCAAATCTGTTTATCCCCTGCAACCTGTTTCGAAAAGTGGGAATGTCGAAGCTAAGCTCAGAAGATCATATCACTTCCTGCCATGCAAAGGAATAATATACCTATATAATCCTATATATATAATTCTACATGGCCATCAAATCATTAACGAACCTTTGTTTACTAGGCCTATGTGTCTCTCTTTGCCTGTCTATTTGCTCGTTTTGTGCCTGTTTTCTACCTAGCTATGGATCTATGTATTTGCAACAACACACAACATGCGACTACCCCACCTGCCAATTTAATTCAATTTATTGACTGCCCGGTGACTACCCAAAGTAAAGGTTTGCATACCTGAGACTGTCAACCCTATACATGCACATTCATCTATTATCATCTATTGATGTTGAGTTTTTCATTTGTAGAGATGTTTATGTATATGTGTGTCTATACATACATGCGCATATACATATGTATATGTGTGTGTGCATATATATGTATATATATATACATATATATACATACATATATGTACACAAAAACACATACGCAGGCAGCGTGCCCAGAAGCAGATCGAGGAACTGCAGGCTGAACTGGCTACTGCAAAGGCGCGGCCCGTGAGATAGTTCACCAGCAAAATTGGCGGTATCTCCAAAATGAATGGCACTTTTAATGAGGAACATGATTGAAAATGATGATAAACCATCGAATGTGGGGGTATCCTGTTTTCAGACCAATCCATGTTGAACCCTGCGAAAATGGAATTTGGGGGATCATGTTTTATCCTGAATCTATGTTTTCCTGGAACGAAGCAACAAAGCGCCATGAAAGGATCCGGGCCTCTGAAAGGATAGAAAAAGGATGAAAAAGGAAACGCATTTTAAAACAGAAGGGACACCTGTGTTCCACTAGATTGTAGATTGGTAGGATGGGTAAAGCTGGGTAACCCTCGCCTTGGTCATTGATAGATTCTGGCCAGGAGCAACTGTCACAGCATGCTCATCAGCATGGCGAATTGAAAGGTTCGTCGCTTTGCTCTGACTGTGTCACAAGGATCCATCGTTGAGAGGTTCTTCAACTGGAGGTGGCCCCATGAATGTCCGAAAAAACATCGATGAAGGTATCAATAAGATTGGCAACCCGCTTAGTTCAACTGGGGGTGTATTCATACTGTAAAGGGTGAACCTCCAGAAATCCAACATGACAATGGAAAATCACATATAAATGGATTATAAATGGAGGTTATAGTGGGAAAATCATCTATTTCCATGGGGCATTGTCCAGCCATGTTTGATGACGGAGGGTAACCCCTCCGCAGGTCACAGCTCCCATTTGGAGTCACAATGGCAAAGCGCCGAGTTGCGTGCAAGCCACCATGTAGCTGGCTCGGGGAATGCGAGGGACAGCAGGAGGGATGGTGTGGCCAGGTAAACTTTATGAAATGTCTGGGATGGTTGTCGTTTTGGATAATGCATTAGTTATTAATGTTATTACAGCTTCCTGGAATTTATGGATGTTTGATTTCGGATTATTTTTCCCATTGTATTCTTGATATTCGTGTTTGTTTTTTCACATTTCCAGGGCCGCCTTCCGCTAGTCAAACATTGTGATGTCAGATGTGTTATTCCTCAAGAGGACAATGATTCATCCGATAATCATGTTACAGAATATTCCAGATATTCTTAAGACTCATTAGATCTCCAAAAAGATCTCTACTGTTTTTCGTGATTCTCAATAAAGATAAGAGACAATGGAAGATAAGTAAGGATAGCTGCCAAGTTCGATTCCCAGTCCTTGCATGTCCTTGGCCGAGGCAACTCGTGCAGAGGAGTTGGAGCAGCGGCTGCTGCAGCTCGATGAGGCTGTGAAGTGTCGTGCTCTTCCTCGAGGGTGTGTGATATAGCACCCTCAAAAGATAAAGAGTTAAATCAAATTCCTACTAAAATAGTTTAAAATAATCTAAAATAGTGATGCATTGTGATAAGTTGCTTTTCTATCGTTTTGGGGGTTGCTATGTATGTATGTATGTGTGTATGTATGTTGTGTATTTATATACTGTACAGAGGGGAGGGGGGAGAGAGAGAGAGAGAGCGAGGGAGAGCGAGGGAGAGAGATGGAGAGAGAGGGAGAGAGAGAGGGACCGCTCTATATATAGTTTAAACTGCCACAACGGATCCCAGAACTCGGACGGTTTGAACTTCAAAAGCCCGGTGAAAAGCCAAGCATATGGGAAAATGGTGTGGGTCATGGCATGTCATGATGTTGGACCGCCTGACGCTTCTGAGTGTCAGGACAAGGGACAACACACAGAAAGCTTGGAACAAGAGGTTTCGCAGCAACGTCCTATGCCTGGACTACGTGAGCTTTGGGTGCTTGAAGCAGGGATTGGCATTTGTGTGTTTGAGTTCTACGATGTCCTACGGGAATCGAAGACAAATTGATGGATTTGCAGTTCTTCAAGTTGTCAAACACCAAGAAGCTTGGAAGATTAGGACTTTACCTCGGTTCCGATGGGTACACCTCCGACATCAGCTTGACAATAGTTACGAGCCTTTTTTACCCGCAAGCTGTGTTGTAAGAACTGTATCTTGCTTGTATTGGTAAGGTGACGGGGGATCAGATGACGAATCTGCCATTTGTAGCTGATTGCCATGTTGGAGGCCCGAAGATTTTTCAACCCCCAGTGAGGCCTTAAGATCCAGGAGCTGGAAGCTACATTGCTTCAGTTGGGTGAGGCTCTTAGAAAAGTCGCCTATGGTAAACTGGGATCATAACTGGTGCGGCCCCACTTGTGGCTCAATGGGTCAAGTGATGGTCAAGTGGCATTGGGTCGTACAAAGAATGAGATGATACACCACTTGCACACCACTTGCACACCACTTACACATCAACTCATGATACTCATGGACTTTCCTGAACCTTTCCTGACAGATACTGCCACGCCTAAGGCCAAGATGCTGAGAGCGCCACAGAGTTGGCCCAAGAGCAGATTGACTTCTTGCAGCACAAACTCAAAGACATGGAGGCGCTGGGCGCCTGAAAGTCCTTCGGGAAGGAACAAGTCCTTCACTCCAAAGGCAAGTACTGTATAGTGATGTGACAAGAGTATACAAAAGTGGATTGTCCTTACGCCACCCATTTCTGGGAAAAGGATGTAAACATGTTGGCTCATGTTGATGTACTCTCGGGCTTATCAGAGGAGAAAAAAGTCAACAAAAATAGTCCATTTGAAGGCCCTAAGAGCTCTAAGAGGCAAGGCCATTCCAAGCCAGGATCAGCACCAGAACGTTGCTTTGGTTGAGGAGCTTCAACTGGTGGCCGCTGGTGGGGATTAACATGGAGCCTGCTCATTGGTCATGGATGCTTCGAAATACTCTCAACATATCATATATATATATACATATTATATATATATATATTATATCTATATATATATATTCATATATCGTTTATATTTATATTTATATAATTTATATAGATCTAGATCTAGATCTAGATCTAGATGTGTGTGTGTGAATATTATGTGTGTCTGATTATATATATATACATATCATTGTCCGTATCACTATCACTATCACCATCACTATCATGTCAGGCCACATCGCATAGCATCACATAACATCACATTATTGGGTAACCTATGGTCACGCTCATTGCATTCTGATTTTGAGGGCCCAGTGATCTCAGGCAATCACCAGATAGCATCGCTGCCAGGAGAGGAATATGGAGCTGATGCGCGAGGTCACACAACTGCGCGCACAAATCGAGGCAGTTTCTGGAGCTCCAGCTGGGTTTCAGCCTTGAAAAAAAGAAATCATTGAAGAATGTAAAACTGATAAGAAAAAGGATAAACATCTATACATATATATATATATATATATAATGGCAATCTGGAGTTTTGGTGGGGCATGGGGCCCACCATCTGCAAAGAGCTTGGGAAGATGTTCGCAATGAACTCGCCCACTTCACTGTGGTTCGTTTGGTTCTCCTCCGATCTGTCGGCCTCTTTGGCAGGCTGGGCCATCCAGCCCCGTACTCAAAAAAATGTTGCTGCCTCCTTCGTTTCCATTGGATGGCCGCTGCCTACATTGATTTCTAATCATTTGCACTGCCATGTCATGAACTGCTTCAGTTGTAGTTTTGCTTTGGTGATTTGGATATAGATATAGTTAGATTCATTTAGATTCCTGGTTCTCCCTTAAAGATACGTCATTTCATGAGTCAGTGAGTGGTTCCAGCAATCTCGAGAAATTTCACCCAGGCCCTCCGATGGAACCCCTCCAGCGACGCATTTCCAATGCCTCTGCCGATAGCGATGATTTCAAGAAGAAGGTTCGCTCAGTGAAACGCCTGGGCCCAGGGCGGCAGGGCGGCATGGTGATGCCATGGTGGGCGTATCGGGACGTCTAGATCAAGGATGTCTATGGAAAATGCCGAAGCATTCAATGGGAAGACGAAGCACCCTGTTGTCATCACTTATATTTAAAATTATTTATATACATACACACTATATAGATAGATAAGATAAGATAAGATAAGATTAGATAGATAGATAGATAGGATAGATAAGATAGGATAGATAGGATAGATAGGATAGATAAGATAGGATAGATAGGATAGATAGGATAGATAGGATAGATAGGATAGATAGGTTAGATAAGTAGATAGCTAGATAGCATAGATAGGATAGATAGGATAGATACGATGGATAGGATGGATAGGATGGATAGGATGGATAGGATGGATAGGATGCATGGGTGGATTCGACAGACAGACAGACAGATAGATAGATAGATAGGTAGATAGATAGATTATATATTATATTTTATATATTATATATTACAGTATATCTTATGTCGCATGCATATATATATATATGATTATGTGTGTGTGTGTTTTGCTACCCCATCCACACTCCTTATCTGTGCAGGCAGGCGAGCCCTAACATCGACAAGTTTTTGCCAATGGCCACAGCTGCGTCCATTTCGACGTCCGGGAGGCAGCATGTGGACTTACCAAACCCTAGTATGGTAACCCCTTAGGGATATCTGGAGACCCAAAAGTTGCTAATCACAGGTAGTTGTTAGTGAAAAGACAACAGGTCATCCTGGAAAAAAAGTCAAACAAGATAAAATGGGAAAAATGAAACCTCGGATGTGAAACCACTCACCCGCAGCTGCATGGGATCTCACTGCAGTCGCCGCCAAAGAGACCAAAAGCCCAGCAGCAGCCGCAGTGCAAAAGCAAAATGCCAGCGCAGCTCCGCAGCAGTGCACAGCAGCAAGCGCAAAGCTATGGCCGCTGCCAATGCCAAGAGCCGCATAGTGCAGTCAAGAGGCCAGCAGTCATACACATCATTGCAAAAGGAATCATGTGCCAGCGTCCATGTCTTCATCAGCGCCACTAATGTTGCGATAGCGCAGCACCAGCAACTCATCTGCATTCCTGTCAGGAAGAACAGTGATACCGTCCACTGGCAGCAACCAAAACAAAACAGTGTTGCGAAGCACTTCATCTGGCAAATCAACGCGTTTATCTGGAAGTTTCCCATCGTCATAGATCAGCCACTGATTGTTGCACCGGACTGAGGCACGATAGTGACCAGAATAGGGCGTTGCGCCAACATGATACACAAATCCACAAATTTTGTATTGGCAATGAATAAAATCAGATGTGTTGTCGAGGAAGCAAGGAAACTGAATGGTGTGCGAGAATACGATCTTCTGTGTGCATTTATGTGCTGCTGTTGGAAGGAAACGGCTAATTGAGAGAAGAATGACACGTCCCACCTGTGTAGCTGCTCTGCAAACACCTTGGCAATCGTGCCATAAATCAATCAATGTCTGGAGTGAGCATGTGTCATGGTGTTGGTCAATGGACAGTTGAATCAATCCGTATGGGTGTCCTTTTTCATGATTCACACTCGGATCGTTTTCCAGCCCATCACGCACAAAGCGTGCAACCCACGCACAATTGACAAACAGGGGCGTCGTGCGCATCAGGAACCAATGGGCAAATTCTGCCACATCCTGCTGTCTGTCCATGTCTGCAATTGTCCACCCATCAGTCAGCAACCAGAGAAACGGTTGGAAGTTGAGAAGATTCAACGGCAAACCACTGATCGCAGTGACCGATCTGAAAAGTTCAAATCCCCCGAGGGGCCACCATTTTGGATCCAAAGCCCCAGCCAAAAGAGTTGCCCATGCATGGCATACCACAAAGGCATTTGCAAAACAGATGTTGCCGGGGTTCATCATGATCCGGACGACCCTTTGGCGAGCTTCTGTTGAATGCTCTTGGCCAAGGTGCTCCTCTCTGTGCCCTGTGGACGAATTGAAGTCCTCACTAACTGCCAAATGGCATGATAGCAGACTCGTCTGACTTCGCTCCAGGCTTCCGGCTGATTGCGGCTCGAAATCATCCATAGAAATGGAAGTGCCCTGTCGCTGTTCTGGTCGGTGTGCTTCATGAGCCCATGAAAGCGGATGGTCGTAGTGGGGTCTTCGACCAACCGTCGCACGTTCTGAATCGCGCGAAGGGCTTCGTCCAACCTCAAGGTTGCTTCTTTCGTCGGCTTCAAAGTTCGGGCTGTAGGATCCCAACGAAGATACGGCATATTGCCCTCCGAATCGATGAGGTTCAACTTCTGGCATTCGATCCACTGCGGATCCTTGGGAGTCGACTTGGAAAGAGCCAACAGTCTCTCTTCCAGAGCCGTGATCAGCACAACCACCAAATGATGCCGCAGCGGCGTGTCCTTGGGGCCCTTGTGCCAAGTCTGTGTGGCAGCCAACATCAGAGGAATCACCGACCCCTGGCCTGGTTGTAGGTGGAGGATGAATTGATGTTCCTGAAGCAGCTGCTGCAAACTGTCTTCCGTCCTCAAGGCCAGACGGGCCACCAGTGCCACCAGGTCGTCGTAGGACGGTTTGGTTTGCCTGGGCCCTTTGCGTCCCACTTCCGTCTTGGGCCGTTTGGCCTGACGATCTCCCTCCAATCCAAGGCCCAAGGCCTTCATTTGATCCACCGACAGAATGGAGCTCCAGATAGCGTTGGCCTGATCCAAGGCCTCCTCCATTGCAGAGGTAAACTGCCAAATGGAACAGCGGGAGGCAGCGTTCACCCAGTTGCACCAAATGTTGCTGCAATGTGCAAAATTGGCATGGTGTCAAACATCTGAGATGAAGTCTGTGGCTGCACAGGAAGGTGTCATACTGTCGGAAGTTGTGTGATTGAAGATGCTCAAACATTTTCCATGGTGTGAAAAATTTGCATCTACACATCAAGCATTGATATGAGAGACGCTCCAGAAAAAGAGGATCACTCAGCATGAAAAATCCACAGGCAGCAAGTTGCTCAAAAGAGTAGCCTAAAGCATCATATGGTGCTGAGGGTTGCGCATTGAATTGCATGAGCTGCAGATCGATGTCGTGTTTGCCGCGTTGCACCTCATCCGCCGTTGGCCAGGTGTCAGGAGCATATGGCTTCTTATACCACACCGGGTATGAAAGCAGCATTGCTATCAAAGCGATGTAATCACATTCCTTCAAGTGTTGCTCCGGACAGGGGCTGAAGTGCTCATCCTCCAAGTCATAAGGCAACAGCGTTCCACAGAATGTGCACCAGTGATCAAAGTGGGTTTGAGAGGCCCGTTTGGCCAGTTGATTGATGATGACCTCTATGCTCCTGATGTCGAAGTTGTGAGCCACCCGGATGTGGGTCCTTGCACAGTTGAGAGGAATCTGTGTATCACAGATGATGCATCGCTGTGTCAAGAGTTGATACACTTCGGTGCTCATCATGACATCCTCAAAGCACCTTGTCATCATCAGCGTCGACACCTTGGAGAGCATAGGTTCAGGCAGGTAGGGTTCAAGCACATCCATCAGATCAACAGCTCTGTAGTGCCATGGCGTGAAAATTTCACTTTCACAATCATTGATCATGAGGGCCAGGTTGTAGATCAGTGAACATCGATGTCCAGGTGTTCCATGGTTTACTGCCGGATTGCACAGGCAGCCATGTGCTGAAAACATCACCCAGGACAGCATTCTGATCCAGGCTTCCGCATCGGCCAGCGCCTGCGCATGGAGGCCACAGAGATGCTCCATCAGCAACAATGGCGAAGGAAAATTCGAGCCGCACACCTGGCAGTGGAGCGACAACTGCATGCGCAAGCCAGGGTTGTGTGTCACCAACCTCAATAGCCCAAGTCGAGCTAATTGGTGAATAACCTCACCCGGTGCCAGCAAAAGATCCGGTGGAGCCAATCGAGCTTGGTCAGCATCTGGATGCGGTGTGACCGTCAACCTCAAGAGTGTGTACTGTAGGGTCAAAAGACACTGATGCTTCCTGTAGCTCTTGGGCATGCAGTAGCAATCAAATGGCCCTTTTACTCTTTGTTCCAATGCCTCTGTTTCGATGGTGATCTGGTTCCAAAGAGATGAATGGTGGCTTCTCAAATGACGTACAAGCTCATTTTTCCGTTGAAACGTCTTTTGACAACTGAGGCACACTTGCGACAGCAGCTCAATGATGTGCTCATTGCCCAGAAGATCCATGCATGCTTCCGTCTCCACCGCCTGCATGACAAGGCAGTACGCTTCAAGCTGTTGTTCATTGAGTTGATCACCAACCTTGAGGGCCAAGTGGAAGTTCCGAAGATGCTGTTCAAGTCCATGTTTCGTCAGGAATACCTTGTTGCACTTCTGACAAGGAAAGACAGTGTCAGCATTGGGCACATTTCCAGGAGGATCTTGGCCATGGAAGGTCATGTAGATAGCATACTGTCGCAGAACAACACAATTGTGTTCTCGAAGAAAATGAGTGCCACAAAATTCACACGGATTGCTGGTGCCGGCATTGTGAAGCAGGTAGGCATTCCAAGCACCATGTTTCTTGTAGCATTCATTGTGAGAATCACTCCAATGTCTCATGAGTCCACGTGTTGTCAACATGTATCGACCACACAGAATACATCTATGAGAAAAATATGCAGTGAGGTCCTTCCGTTGACCAAGTGCAGCGTAGCTCATTCCTTGAACATAGTTCAGATATTCACGGACCCGTAGTCGATGTTCAAGGTCTTCATCTTCCTGAGAAGGGGCCAGGCACACGTACTTCACATGATAGTGAAAATTGTGCCATTGAGTGAACATCTTGCCACATCTTTGACATGTGGGAACGCCCTGATGTGATTCTGCTGCTTGAGAGATTCGAAGAAGGCCTGATCTGCAGCCATGCTCAAGCAGCTGATGCCTGCGCAGCAAGGAAATGTTGGTAAAACTCATAGAGCACAGAGGACAAGCATGTGGCGCATATTCAGCCTGATGAAGTGTCGATGAGTCACGCCGCTGCTCGTAGACTTCAAGGAGTACCTGTTCCAAGTGCAGTGGATCCAGAGGATAACATCTATGAAGAATGTCAGCAGGCTGCAATCGCACTGTGCGATCCGACTCTCGTTGTCTGGCCTTTCGAATTTGAGTCAGCAATCGCTGCAAAGGATCAGCAATGCCCGCGCTGTCTAAGAAATCGACATGGGCCAGGTGAGTGAGATGCACAGGTGAGTGACAAAGTCGTCTCAATTGTTGAAGAAAAGTTCTGTCGAGAAGTTGAACCGTTTGAGGTGTCAGACCAATGGATCGTAAGCCATATGTCAAACAGGGGAAAGTACACTGGAACCACAGTTTGACCTTCTGTTTGTGACTGAGACCAGTTTTCTTAAACAACCACCTTTGTAGCTGATGAGAAATCTTTACCCCAGCCTTGATCCTGTGCCGTACAGTCAAGAGTTCAAAATTCGAGTAGCTCAGAATGACACCAAGGTAGGAGAACTGCGAAACCAATCGGATGAAAAATGGTTGACCATGTCTGCTGGGAATGCAAATGAAAGTACCATCTTTGGTGCGTTTGATGAATCTCTTGTAGATCTTGACTTTGCCCGGTCCATGCAGCTTCAAGGTGGCAATTGTTTTGTCACGGTTGATGGTCAGGCCAGCATCAATCAGCAGGTCCAAGAAAGCTCCAACCTTGGTCAGGGTACTGGAAAAATCATCCATCGATTCAATCAAACTGTGGAGGCAAAAATCATCTGCAAATGCTGTGACAACATCGCACAGCCATTCCCATCCGTTGATCTGCGCAGCGTTCTCCAAGATCCAGGCTGAAAAAAGGGCCCACAAAATAGGAGCCGCTTTACAGCCTTGTCGTATACCACGTTGTGTGGGTAAGGATCTATATTGACCTCTATGCCAAAAAGAGAATGATGTTTTGTCGTAGATTTGACTGAGCATGGCAATGATGTTGCGGTCTGCACCTAGTGATGTCAACGCCTGAAATAACTTTGACCTCACCACTCTATCGAAGGCCTTCATCAAGTCAAGACTGAGGACCAATCCACCAGCCAGCTCCGGTCCTGGAACAGAGTGAGCTGCACGATGAATGCCAAATCTCAGGGTGTGCAACAAGGTTCGAACATCAGAGCAATGTTTCCTGACCCTGGTGATAGCCTCGTCTCCTCCTCTTCCAGGGAGGTAGGCAAACACCGGCAGCCTAAACAAACGTTCAGACATTGAATGCAGTAAGTATTTGGCCACCAACCCCATCAGCACCTTTCCGGAAGGTTCCAGCAGGGCAATAGGGCGAAGCTCTGCAGGTGATCTGCCAGGTTTGCCTGGTTTGCACAAGAATGTCAATACTCCATTGCTCCAGCAACTAGGCAAACTACCAAAAGAGCTGCAGTATTCAAAGTATGGTTGAAGATATGCCGCTGCTGAGGTAGCTGCCGCTTGCCAAATGGGAGCTGGAGCATAGTCTGGTGCAAGAGCCTTGAACGAAGGCAATCGTTGTAAACCAGCGCAAAACTCTGCTTCAGAAAAGGGCCATGAAAAATTCTGACTGACTGAATGTTCATCCTGTGCTGAGTAAAGCTCCCGATACCAATCGCATAATGAGTCGGCAGCATCAGCAGGGCCAAGTAAAGCTCCTGTCGCAGATCTAAGCTGAATACGCCGAAAGGATTGCTTGGGAGCCAGTTCACGAATGGCCTGGTAAAATTGAAAGGAGTCTTGTGCACGTTCAGCTTTGTCAGCCTGTGCAAAAATTTGATCAATTCTAGATTTCCGTGCTGCCTTGGCTGTGAGGTTCATTTGACGACGTGCAGCTTGTCGTTTGGCAACATGAAACCAAGCCTGAAACAAGTGCGCCAATGAAGAAAACCCAGTAGTGGACATTTGTCGCAAGGATCTCGTGTGCTGTTGAAAAGCCTGAAAAGGCGTGGCATCAAACTCATAAACCGGATGTTTGTTAGATGATGGAGTTTTGAACTCATCAAATTGATTCAAACATGTGTGCACCTCATGAAGTCGATCACAATCGGTGTCAGGAAGTTGTTCAATGCGCATGGTCACCTGTGATTGTAGTGCTCTGGCATTTGAATCTTGTCGACTCCACTGCAAATACAACTCTTTGCGTTGAGCACGACTCCATCCAGGTGTCTGCATCGTTGGCAAGGGAGTCCAAACCTTCAGCACATTGCAAATGAGTGGTACATGCTGCGCACCAGTCAAGGGGAGCAATGGAAAAGCATGAAGATAGTGAACATCACGTGCCCGTTGATCTGTCAAATTCCTCTTTGTGAAAATGAAATCAATCCTGGAAGAATGGGAACCAAAGGTAAATGTAGGGCCGAGATGGGAGTTCCAGGTGTTGAGAGCAACCAAATTGTAAACCTGTAACAAGTTATACAGTTGATCAGCATCTCTGTGTGCCGGACCCCAGTGTCGGCTATTGTCTTTCGCATAGGTAGGAAGTCCAACTGCCATGCATCGCTTGTGCAACGAGGTGTTCAAATCACCAGCTACAAATAATGAGTTCCTTTTCGGCAACGTTGAAATAAGGTTGTGAAGACAATGCCAAACATCTGCCCTTTCGTCCAATCTTTGAATGTTGTGAACATGCTGATAAACGTTGATGATGTCACACCCTTTGTGAGAACCATGAATTCTAGCATGTAAAACACGTCCAGGTATAGGTTCACTCCATGAGATGTCATTCTGTTGAACCAGTCTTTTGGAAATCATCGTCAGCAGCCCTGCCTGACGTGGTCCTGCTCCAGAGTGCAAGCAATAGAAATGGCTCTGCATCCATTCGCTGGAGAATTGCCAATGCGTCTCCTGTAGCAGGATGATGTCAAGCTGTTGCAGTGTCAGCCATTGTTGGAGATGATCCCAAGAGGCCATTGTTAATCCCCCACAGTTCCAAGAGAAGATACTCAATCGTCGATTCCTCAATGAACGTGATGGGGCATGGTTGGAACTCACTGATTTAGGCTTGGTTTCCAATGGCTGTTCAGTTGTTCGAGGGCCACTGAGCAATTGTCCACGATACCAGGTAAAGCCATGACGTGAAATACGTTGTAAAGCACGTCTGTAGCTACGTTTCTGAACTGAATTTTTCCGAAAATTGTTTGAAGTCAGGGTTTGGTATGGTTCTAAAACCTTTCTGGGCTCAACGACATGTGGTTTCGCTGGCGCCTTCACGCCAGCTCTCCCGTCACGCATGTCCATGACGGAACCCTCACCCCTCACAGGATCGAAGCTCTGTGATGTCAAAATCGCAGTGATGATGCAGATTGTACCAAGTCTGCTGATGCTCCAATGACCCTGTGCTCGGACTTGGGACCGAGTTGCACGAGTTCCTGTAAACAACTGAGATGGTGTCCTGTGTCCTGAGACCTGGTAGATTCTATGAAAACACCACAAAAAGCCAAAAAAGGCAATCACTGAAGAATGGTCTGAGTCAAGCCGTCTGAAATTCCAAAGATGCAACTGTTGCAAGGGCTCGTTGTCCAGAAGGCAACAGTGCCAAATGAAATAAAACCAGAAGATCGCAAAAATAAGCGCCAAAAGAATGCTATTCCACCACGGGCCAGTGAAAAACCACTCAGGAGCCCACCCTGTTGCAATCAAATGGTCCAGTGAAGCCGTGATGACCCTGGGGAGACCACCCCCGACAAGGAGGAACAATTCAATGATGTAGTGCTTGCACCAGCAGCAGCGCAGATGCAACGCCGTCAGCCCAACGGTAGCAGCAGCTGCACGCCAAAAAGAGGCAGGATGAGCTGAACGACCCGGGGGCAACGGCTGCGGCTGCAGGCAGGTGTCCCAGGACCCTTGAGAGCACCACTCGCGGGTGCAAAGGGGCTTGTGTGTGTGTGTGTTGTATTCATTTACCATGCTTTACCATCGATTTTGGGGGCTGCGGGGTGCGGTTTTGACCAAGGTCGAGCTTCCGAGCTCCTCCAGCAAGCCGCGATGCCAAACACGCCAAGAGCTGAGGATCCATTGTCACATGTATCTGTGGTATATGTTAGATGTTTGTTAATGCAGTGACTTACTGATGTAACTCATTGTAACTGGATGTTGCATTTGAGATCGTTTGAGCAATGGCTGCTAAAGCCCTGTTGATGATTCCAGAGGATTCCATTGGGTTTTACAATCTATTCTATTACTGTCTAATCTGTCTAATCTGCGTAGGATTCTCACAATCCATGCTTCCTTCAGGCAGCTCCTTGAAACACAACTGCGATCGGCGGTCCAAAGTTGGAATCAAGGCGCAACGGGGCCGCGCCATGCCGTGCCATGCCGCGCCCCCCAGGTGACCCCTGGTCAGCAGACGTTGAATGAGGCTTAACCATCAAATACCATCAACCACTAAGATTCACAAAGGTGAATGAGGCATCAATCTTATATATCTAGTAGTCTCCTTAGTAAGAGGCATGACTGATGCATTCTATGGGCTGATAGCCTCCTTAGGCTTTCCTTGGTTTGTCTTTTCCTTGGTTTTTTTTCCTTTGTTTCCCCCTTGGAAACCAAAGGAAATCAAAGGATGCCAAAGGAAAAACGAGATCATCTAAGAAGAACTGATTTTAGCTAGTTCCTTTGTGTTTCTTGTTTCTTTTGGTTTCCTCTCACAATTAAAAACCATATTTTGGTGCAACCCATGTGTTGGAAAGGTTGACACTGCTAGCTTTTGGCCCATATCTTGGTGGAAATGTGGAACACCTGTTACAGCAAACACACTTGTACTGATAGGGGAAAAAAGAAAACACAAGAAAACCAGAGGTCTTCAAAGGAAAGGGCAGGGTGATCAGAGGAGAACATCGGTTCATCTAGGGTAGCCCTGCTTTGAAGAATGCATGTTCCAGTGATGTTACTAAAGAGTTCCTATGACTATAATATATGTTTTTATAGTTTAAGTAACTATTCTTGGGGGTCAGGGTCACCTGGGTCACCTTTGCGGAAGTTGGTTCTCCATGAGCTTCTCACAGCACATCACGGCCCAGATTGGTTTGAAAGACATGAATATGCCGGCACCCTTTATTCTTTCCCATTGTCAAAAAAGCTGCAAGTGTTGTGTTCTTTCATTATCTAGGAGAAGGCATTGCAGGCAGCCACCGACAGAAAGCTATCGCAGTTTGTACTTGAGGTGGTAGCTTGTCAGCCGGCAGGGTGCCTCAATCCACATGGATGTTTGATGATGTTTGCTGGGCCTTTTGGCACTGCAAAAGGGCAGAAAACTAAACCATGCTCAATCTGATTTCTGGTAGCGTGGCGATCCTTCCATGCCATCCGGACACAAGGCCTCCACTCCAATGCTGGTGACGAGGCCCACTTGTCACTAATCATAGTGTCATCATGTCATGGTGGATGTCAGTGGCATTGCACGGTGGCTGTTGCGCAACCCCACAAAAGAGGCAAGCATGTTGGCAGAACGGCGGCAGCTGGCAGTGCTTCTCGATGCAGCTGCGTGTGTCAGACTGGCCTGTTATACCCTTTTGTAAACGCAGCTTCAATGGCAAAAGTGCCTGCAGGCCTTGCATAAATAAACAGATCGCCCTTTCTTGGACAATTTAATGATTAGAACTAGAAGAATGAGTATATAGCTCAATTTAGAGTTTACACTTGATGTCGAGCACAGTCAGTGCCCATGACCCACAATGCTTTCCCGCGCTTAGTCCGTATTTGCATGTTTGTGGCTGCCTTAGTGCGACTGCGAGCCGTTGACAGCATTATCATAACAGGACCTCGCAGCCTTGAAAGAAGAAGTTCGGGCCTCTCAGCCATCCTCATTTCCTCGGTTACAGAAGGGCTATGGTCATGGACAGTGCAAGTAGCGGCGAAGCATTGCCCTGGAGCCAATCCTGTGTTTTCTGTAATGAATGATTGAAAGACATCGAGGGAAAAGACTGACCATTGTTCTCCTAGGCGAATGATTGTGCTGTTCAGGGTCATCACTTTCTTATCAGCGCAGTCTGCCACTCTGAGGCCAGCACACACCATGAACTTTTGCCAGCTGAGATGCAGGAGCGGGATGGGATGGTGATTTGGTCAATCCACTTGCCGTGTCTTCAAACTCCGAAGTGTCAGCGCATACGTTGTACTTGATGTCATTTGCATGTTCTAAAGGGTCCCAGAGAAGCCTCTATTTTTGATATTCTCCAAGCACGGACAAATTTCCCGCAAGGAGCTGATGCATGAGATTGACCTAGCCCTGGAAAACTGCAAAGACGAAAAGGGGTCACTTGGCAATTGCACACCATGACTAGGTTCTGATTTGGATGGACTGGGCCATGCCAAATAACTGTCAATATGTTCACCAAGCAGTCTGTGTTCTGGTCAAAGCTGGGTGCCTCAAGTTGAATGATGTGGACTATCAAAAACCCAATGATGTAGGCAAACTACTACTATGTATGTGGAAAATCCATGGGCTCCCCAGAAAATGACCCACAAACGATGGATTTGCATGGATTTTAAATCCCTTGGTTGGTTTTCCCCAAAGAAAACACCTGTTAACTTCAAAATGCTTCGCATGCATGGAAAAATGTCCAGCAAATCTGCGGGGTCCTGCAGGGTCTTCCGCCTATGCTGTGCTTCGCCAAGGATACTGCAGAGTAGCAGTGCATTCGATGGCATGCCGGAGGCCAGATGATAAGATGCAATCGCAGCAAGGTTGTTTCTCCGAATCTGCAGGATCATTTGCAGCTAAAAACCGGTTTTTTGGGATGGTTGTGGCTTGCAATAGCTGACTGCAAACATTCAGAAAAGTTGATTCCCCCAACATTCGCCTCACTACCTCTCCCCTTCTTGAACCGTTGAGATGCATCTCGCCCTGAGTTTGGACATTGCAATGATGCACTTTGATTCATCAATCATTTTTTCTCCGCTGAGACGCTGCTGCAAAGTTTGGCATCGGCTCTAGGCCAGAGCATACTGCAGTGTGGGAGTACTTGAGAAGTGGGTATGGCATATGGGTCAAAATGAAGCCAAAATTGTTTAAGCTTTCAGACTCTTTCAGACACTTCAGACCTACAGAATTGAATTCGACATTTTTGGCTTCGCCAATTACTTGAAAACAGGAACATCTGAAAATATCTGAAAACCATCCCGAATCCCATTTGTTCCAACATGTTGTAATCATCGAAGTAAGTTTAGAAGTCAAACATCGCAAAACGCATTGGTGCGAGGCCGTCAGCTCTCAACTTTCCATTTTTGAAGGAAGTCTCGCAGAATTGGTTCATTTTTGTTGCCAACTTCAAAAATTGAGGAAGTCTCGCAAATTTGTTTCGTTTTTGACGTTGTCAACTTCAAAAATTGGGAAAGTCTCCCAGAATTGCTGCATTTTTGACGTTGTCAAGTTCAAAAAATGAGGAGGTCTCGCAGAATAGCTTCGTTTTTAAGCTTGCAGATAGATAGATAGACAACTGCAAGTACAACTACCACCACCATTACAACTACAACTAAAACTACAATTTACATCTACAACTACAATGGCAACTACAACTAGTGCTCCAACTACAACTAGTGCTACTACTACAACTGCTACTACTACTACTACTACCTCCTCTACTACTACTACTACTACTACTTCTACTACTACTACCACCACGACGACGACTACTACTACTACTACAGCTACTACTGCTACTACTACTACTACTGCTTCTACTGCTACTACTACTACTGCTACAACTACTACTACGACGACTACTACTGCTACTTCTGCTGCTACTACTACTACTACTGCTATTACTACTATTATTACTACTACTACTACTAGTACTACTACTACTACTACTACTGCTACTACTGCTACTACTGCTACTACTGCTACTACTACTACTACTACTACGACGTCTGCTACTACTACGTCTACTACTACTACAACTACTACTACTACTACAACTACTACTACTACTGCTACTACTACTGCTACTGCTACTGCTACTGCTACTGCTACTGCTACTGCTACTGCTACTGCTACTGCTACCACTACCACTACCACTACCACTACCACTACCACTACCACTACTACTACTACTTACTACTACTACTACTACTCTCTACTACTACTACTACTACCACTACCACTACTACTACTACCACTACCACTACCACTACCACTACTGCCTACTGCCTACTACCTACTACCACTACTACCACTACTACCGCTACGACCACTACGACCACTACGACGACTACTACGACTACGACTACTACGACTACGACTACTACGACGACGACGACGACGACGACTACTACTACTACTACTACTACTACTACTACTACTACTACTACTACTACTACTACTACTTACTACTACTACTACTACTACTACTACTACTACTACTACTTACTACTACTTACTACTACTTACTACTACTTACTACTACTTACTACTACTTACTACTACTTACTACTACTTACTACTACTTACTACTACTACTACTACTACTACTACTACTACTACTACTTACTACTACTTACTACTACTTACTACTACTTACTACTACTTACTACTACTTACTACTACTTACTACTACTTACTACTACTTACTACTACTTACTACTACTTACTACTACTTACTACTACTACTACTACTTACTACTACTTACTACTACTTACTACTACTACTACTACTTACTACTACTACTACTTACTACTACTTACTACTACTTACTACTACTTACTACTTACTACTACTTACTACTACTTACTACTACTTACTACTACTTACTACTACTTACTACTACTTACTACTACTTACTACTACTAACTACTACTAACTACTACTAACTACTACTAACTACTACTAACTACTACTACTACTACTACCACCTACTACTACTACTACTACTACTACTACTACTACGGCTACTACTACTACTACTACTACTACTACTACTACTACTACTGCTGCATTACACAACACTACGCTACACTAATTACACTACGCTACACTACAACTTCACGACACTACACCTACAACTCCACGACACTACTCTACAGCTACAGCGACACAACTTCACACATACTACACTAGACTACACTACACTATACTACACTAGAGTACACAACACGACAGTACACTACACCACAGTACACTAAACTACATCACACTACACTACAACCCCAACTACAACTGCAACTGCGACTACCAGTACAACTACACTACATTAATTACACTGCACTACAACTACAACAGCAACTGCACTACACCACACTACATCCAGCAGTTGTGGGCGAGGTGACCGCTGCAACCATTGCAACCATTCCAAAAAACACAACTCCAACCACCTTTCGGTCCATCAGTGGATTCGCTTTGTCATCCGTGATTCCAAACAACCAGCCTCTCCTATAGGTTTCCTATTTTTGAAACTTCCACCACCGCCTTGTGCGGCACTACTGGTAACCACTTTTGACTCATGGCCGAGCGACTTGCAGCTGGCAGGGTTGCTGGGTGGCCATCCCTCAATGGAAAGAGGCAACTGGAAGGCGGCTCTAATGGGTTGTCTCGCTGGGTAAGATGCCAAACTTCCACCAGGAAACTCTTTGCGCATCGTCAATCTTTGTTGCCAGAGACGACTTCTATACTGTAAATGGTATTGTTGTGCTGTAATATGCTGTCACTACGAGGCAGGACGTGGGCGCGCATGATTCCGAAATTATTTTGGTCTGATTGACTTCAATAGTCATAGGATAGCAGGGGAACTGGAGCTGAAAGCGAGAGCTACGGTGTCAATCAGTGTGTGTGTGTGCGCGTGCGTGCTGGGATGGGGGGATTGTGTGATGTCATTCGATGTGGAGCCGCTTTCGCAGCTCACCTTTGCTTATTCTTATGTTGTGGGTGGTCAGGAGCAGACCCCAATGCATTGGGCTGCGAAGCAGGGGTGCTAAGAACAGATGAGAGCAAAGTACTTCACATCGAATTTGTTTTGTCTCTGTTCTGCTGCATTCCAGATCCGAGCAGAGCTGCATGAGAATGTACCATGAGTCAGACTAGCTATGGCAGCAAATCCATCTCTCCATCAGTGTTGGCTACATAACGTCATGTTCATTTATATTTTTGAAAGATACCCTGATATCATCTGATATCCCCATTGCCACTGGCCAGCTGGTCCGACTTGCCCAAGGCATGGCCGACGGGATCTGGTGGATTTTCTCCTAAGGCAGGAGGATGGAGATAGCCTCCTGGATGCCTTGGATCATGCAGGCGGGAGGGGAATGATGGATGATGCATAATTCATGATAATTCCAGCTTGCGCCTCCTTAGCTGTGCTCCCAGCAGTTGAAAAGCACAGGTCGCACTCCTGCCGAAGTGGCAGAACAAGCTGGCCAGGCTGCAAGACACTGGGGCAAATTGGTGCAGCTTTCTATAGCTTTCCGTCGATTTGTTGCTCCCAGCTGAGCTTCCAGCGTGGAGCGATGGCAGGTGAGCGTTGCGCAGTTTCTGCGCGGTCACATGGAGCTCAGGGCTCTCAGAGAGAGGCCTCAAGAAAAGGCCTGGTGTCCAGATGTGTCCAGCAAGTAAAATCTGGGACTGTAAAAGGGGCCCGCTTGACAATGCATAGCCACCGTGCAGAGAGGAGTTTGGGCAGGACTATATACGTGGCACCTGCTTTGACAGTTCACACATCTTAAGAACTCCAAGCCCCCAAGCACAGCAAGCATGCGATCAAGGCAACAAGCAAGCTGTGAATGGCAGAAACCGAGTCTGCGCATTTGGAACACCATCCTGACCTACTGTATGCAGGTCACTTTTGAGGAGCGACTCCCGGTGGCTTATCAGAAAGTCTTGAAGCAGGCGGCAGCCAACGGGCATGGGCTAGGCTGATGGGAGACTGATGGGAGATATGCTTGAAATACCTTGAAATATCTTGAAAGTGAAATACGCAAAACAGTCAGGATTATTTGGGTGCCAGCCAGACATCAGTAACATGAGGCATCAGTAGTGAGGCCACGCACTGCCACACGTAAAATCCCTCACCATGTCGGCCATGTAGGCCATGTCAAAACACATCTAAAGCTCCCCTGCCTCAACGATTGTCTGTATTCTCCGATTCTGCATGTGCTTTGCTGCTTGTCAGTTTGATAGATAGATAGATCTATTGATACATAGGTGGGTATAGGTAGGCTGTGGATGGATGAAAGGGCGAATTAGTGAATGATGGATAAGTGGATGGATTGGATGATTGGGCTGGTAGTTGTGCAAAGTGCTGTTGGCTTCTGAGGTGGTGTCACAAGGCTGGGATTCTGTGCGTTGGAAAGATGGCCGGAAGCACAGAGTCAGAGATGGAGGCCCTAGGTGATGCAACATGGATGGGATGGTCATCCCCCCAAGGAGAACACTTGGGGAAGTGGATCAATTATCAGCAATCGATGTTGTCGTTACATGTTGTTAACACCTGTTTGGGTAGGGATTTGGGGTGAAGTGAATATAATTGAATATGGTGGGCCCGGTCACCTTCCCCTTTGTGAAATCTGAAGCGTTTGCCCAGGTTTCACCATGCTGCACTGGGCAGCCTCCAAAGGAGAGGTGCAGCATCCAATTTTTAGGACATTTGGAGGTTGGAAAATTGATATGAATATTATATGTCTATTACATATATATATATACATCTTTTATAGCCAATAGCTAGATCGAGGGATAGAGGGAGAAGCAGAGTTTGGTCAATCTAGCTGCCACCAGGTGGACTTGGCGAGGTATTTGATCCAGCTTCGAGCAGATCCAGATGTTCGGGATGATACGGTGCCGCAAAGGGTACTGGGATTGCCACCACTTTAGAAAATGTATGAAATGTCATGTCTTTTTAGTTGGGTGTGAAAAAATGTTGTATATAAGAGTCTTCCCCTGAAAGTTGACATGCAAACGCTGCAAACCCAAACCTTGGGGAAGGTGAAGTTCACCTGGGATGTTGTGACTTTGGATGGCGCACATTGTGGTGACAACACTGTCCTCAAGAAAGTGAATTGAGAGAGATTTAAGATCCGGTAATTCCAGTTGTTTGCTGCGTCATTCCTTTCCAGTATGTCTAGTTCTGCTCAGATCTAGTTATCATTATATATATATACACATATGTATACATATATATATATTTATATTTATATTTAATCATACTTGATCTTATTTAAATTGTGGCATCCTTTTCCTTCACCTTCCCATCTCGTCAAATGTGGCATACGTGGCATAGCCATCCCAGGTCTTCCATCCCCGTCCCGTCCCGTCCCTCCCGCCAGCACCAAAGAACACCTTTGGACTGGGCAGAGCATGAGGGACATGCCGAGGCCGTGCTCATGGAGTTGCGGCGGGCGTGGGTCCAACAGTTGGGGTTGGGATGATGGATAGTGGGGAGATCATCGGATATCATATCCTTTGATAAAGTATAATAGTATAATGCAACGCATGTAATGAAAAATATGATGCAGACTAAAATATTATCATATAGTTTCATGTAGTATGACATAGTATTGTATAGTCCAGTCTAGTATAGTATAGTTTAGCACGCAATAGATAGAACAGCGTAGTACGTATTACTATGTTTTAATTTAATAAAAGATATATAGCTCTGCCCAAAAAGAAACAATCTTACGGCGAGACCCTGCGGTTTGCCCGGAACTGGAAATGGCTTTGATGATGATGATGATGATGGTGGTGGTGGTGGTGGAGGTGGTTTGGTTATTGTTCCATGCGGGAGGGAAATATTATATCTTGCGTAAACCCTCAGTGAAACCCTAATTGCGGTTTGGTTAATTGTTCCATGGGAATTTTTCAGAAACCCTAAATGAAACCAAATTGCGGTATGGCTAAATATTAGTTCCATGTGGGTGGGAAATTGTGGACTTTACGTAAACTCTACATGAAACCCTAATTGGGGTGCGGCTAATTGTTCCATGCGGGCGGGAGAGTTTAGACATTAGACCTTATGTGAGCCCTACATAAACCCCAATGGCGGTGTGGCTAGTTGTTCCATGCTGGCGGGAGGCTTTACATCTTCTGTGTAAACCCTAAATTGCAGAATTGTTCCATGGAGTGTGGCTTTTTAAATTTTATTTTAACCCCAAATGAACTCTAATAGTGGTACAGTTCTCTTGCAAGCAATTGCGCCAACACAATTTCATCTATTTTCTTTGAGCTCGTTAAAATTTCAGTGGTTTTTATGCTATTCGGTTCGTGGGCAAACCGCGGGGCATGTGCGCAACAGTATAATATGTTTTAATAGTTTATAGGAAGCGACTATTAATATACAATGGGATATAGCCGGGGTATCACCAAACGATACCGACTTAAGATGATCAGTCGGGATCGCAGCAAGTTGTTTTCTCGGTTTCTTGTCAATGTCAGGCCGTTGAGATGCTTCGGCGCCAGTCAAGGAGACTCTTTCAGTGGTGATGATCCGCGTGAAGCGATGGTTTTTTGGGTTTGCATACCCTTTGCTAATCAAGCATGGCAATAGGAAATTCTATGTAAATGGGGCTTCGTTTAGAAAATCATTTAAAAAATGGTGGTTGTCCATTGTCATGTTTGATTACCAGAATTTGTAGATAATCTTATGATTAGAAAAGTATACTTGATAAAATATACAACTGCAGGGCACGGGACACTATGCTCAAGAAGTGACAGTAGCTGGAATATCCACACCCGGCAGACACACGTTGAATATCCCGAAAAGAGGTAGTTGGAATGATTGAAGTTTAAAATGGTCCAGCTAATCAGATAGCCACCACCAAACAACAATTGCACTTCAAGATCACTCAAAATCATACATGGTTGTAAATCAGGATGCGACTAGATAGTCAAAAGAAGTTTCATGGAGGAAACTCCGAGTTACAGACTTTCACATTCTCACTAGCCCAAAGATCATTGTGTCCAGTTGGCCAGTTGGCATGTGCCTTAAGAGATCATGAAGTCACCTTCTCACTAGCCCAAAGATCATTGTGTCCAGTTGGCATGTGCCTTAAGAGATCCTAAAGTCACATTTTCATTAGCACAGAGATCATTGTGTCCAGTTGGCATGTGCCTTAAGAGATCATGAAATCACGTTCTCACTAGGCCGAAGATCATTGTGTCCAGTTGGCATGTGCCTTCAGAGATCATAAAGTCACATTCTCATTAGCACAGAGATCATTGTGTCCCAGTTGGCATGTGCCTCAAGAGATCATGAAGTCACATTCTCACTAGCCCAAAGGAGTCCTCTTCCCTGAGGGACCTTCTCACTAGCCCAGAGACCATTGTGTCCAGTTGGCATCTGCTGTGGAGGTAGTAGACGTAGTAGAGGTAGTCGAGGTAGACTAGAGGTAGACTAGAGGTAGACCAGGGGTAGACCAGGGGTCGACTAGAGGTAGAATAGAGGTAGAGCAGAGAAGGGTAGAAGTAGAGCAGAGTAGATGTGTTGTGTCTTGCGATTCTGATTGTGTTTTGCATATCTGCGTTGGCAGATCGCATTGGAATTGCTACATCATGGATGCGATTTGAATGTTAGGATTTGCACGAAACATTGTGTGTTTTCGGGTAAACAGAGGTTCTGTTGCGGAGAAAAGTTGGCTCGCGCATGCGACGGTCTTAGGTGTCGTCGCTTTGCCGCCGAATCCGGCTCGATTTGCGCGCGCAGTGGAACTGACTGTTCCAGGTGACTTTTTCTCTTCTTTGTTGCTCCTGTGTTTTTGTGTTTTGCATGTGTTGAGATACCTTGTTCATTGGAACTGGTGTATCAAAGCGATGTGTTCTACGGTAGTGTGTTGCAATCTATTGTGTTGCGTAATTCAGGCTGCGTCAAGGTTCCTCGCTGCTGCGGATGCGTGCGGAATACTTTTGTGTTTTGCGGTTGAAAGTCATAAATTGTATTGCAGTGGCTGCATGAAAGTTGCGAATGGTGCCTTGGCAGCAGATTTTTCTTCATTTTGGCGCTGATATTTCCTGCTAAAATTCCTTTTAAAAAAGGCTTCAAAATCGTCGTTTTTCCTATTCGGCGTCGAGATCCAGTTTTGGAGCTGCAATTTGTGTAGCCCTTGTGCGTACTTCTATTGTGTTTTGCAACTCGGTGTCTGCAGATCGCAGTGGGATGGCTGCGTCAAGGTTCCTCGCTGCTGCGGATGCGTGCGGAATACTAGTTTATGTTTTGCGGTTGAAAGTCATAAATTGTATTGCAGTGGCTGCAGGAAAGAGTTGCGAATGGTGCCTTGGCAGCAGATTTTTCTTCATTTTGGCGCTGATATTTCCTGCTAAAATTCCTTTTAAAAAAGGCTTCAAAATCGTCGTTTTTCCTATTCGGCGTCGAGATCCAGTTTTGGAGCTGCAATTTGTGTAGCCCTTGTGCGTACTTCTATTGTGTTTTGCAACGCGGTCTCTGCAGATCGCAGTGGACGTGATCTTGCTGTCAGCGCGGGGAGCGTGCAGCTGTTCTGCTCACGCCCATGTTGGCATGTTTAAGTGGCATGTTTGTCCCAAATGTGCATAGACGTCATCTGGCTGTCAGGTATTCAGCGGGGAGCGTGCAGCTGTTCCGCTCACGCTCATTTTGGCATGTTTGCTCGAAACCTGCATAGATGTGATCTGGCTGTCAGGTCTTCAGCGGGGAGCGTGCAGCTGTTCTGCTCACGCCCATGTTGGCATGTTTAAGTGGCTTGTTTGTTCGAATGCTGCATAGACGTGATCTGGCTGTCAGGTATTCAGCGGTACGTGCCTTTGCCGCAGCCATTGTTGCACCTCACCCCTGGCGAATGCTTTCCGTTGGAACGCTCTTTTGGCCCCCGTACCTTGGGGAGCTGAGCATCAAGCGACCGTTTCTCAACCTTCCGGTCGACGTCACCTTCCCGCAGACATTTCGCAAGCTGGATTGCGATGGCGACATTCTGGAAGTGTAGCGGAAAGCAGCAAGGAAGAAGAGCGCACGGCTGTGCTGCCTGCGTTTGCCACGCCTCGCTGCATTGCATTCCAGTGGCGCGCACAGCTGTGCTGCTTGCGTGTCCTTGTTCGTTTCGCTTTTCGGGCAGCAGGACTCAAAGACGCGTGCGGCTGTGCTGCTCACGCGCGCTCTTGACAGATGGCTGCTCGTGACATCACAGCTCTTCGCGCCGTGACCCACAGGTAACAGTCAACAGTCCAGTGGGATTGAAGGACCTGACAGTACATGACACGAGAATGATAACATATGATAACACAATCGAATGTTGAAAACCATGATCGAATGGAAAGGCAACTGTGTCACTTCGATTGTGCTGAGAAGAAAATGGACAGGTGGAATTGAGGTGAGGTGAGTCAACACGAGTTCAAAGGCGTTGAGAGGAGAAGAGAGGGACGAAAAGAAAGTTGAGGAGAGTCAAGAAGATGTGCACAGACAGAAATGAAGATCGTTGAAAAGAGATGACGAGAGGTGAGAAGTCGTGGGAAGAGCTGACAAGTGGTTTCACAATTGGCGATAAGAGGTCAGAAGCCCCGGAAAAGAGCATGGAAGTCTGCTGCAGCTCCTATAGCCAAACCTTGCCTTTGGATCCTATAGCGTTACACTTCTTAAACCTGGAAACTTCCGCCGCCTGCCTTGCGCGGGTTCTACTTGTAGGTTGCGGGAAATATGTCGGGATCTTAGTTTGAGCAGTACCCGTTCAAAGAGCTTTGGAGATATGAGGTTGCACGGGCACATACATAGAATCTGGTCAAGACAACGGCTCCCATGAAAGGAAGGATGAAGACAACCTTGCAAAGTAAAACAAAACTGTTTGGGATATGGCCTGAAAGTGCCCTATCTGAACTTATATATCTAAACATTGATAAAAGTGTCAGGTTCCGAACTGATAGATTTCTTACTACTTATTAGTATAAACAAAGCGTTATTTTCGCAGCAAAGGGTGCCCCTGCGAGTGGTGTCCTATTCGATGCAGTTCTTGGCCTACCATCACACCTGCCTGCATGTGTGTATAAATAGAATATGGAATCGGATTGCTGGACCCCCTTCAGGAGTGAAAAAACAATACGGAAGAAAATCGGAATTCCTTGCTTTCTTCTTCTGGAAATACAGACCTGATGTTAAAGAATAGTTTCCACTCTGTTTGCTAGTCCCATCTATTTTTCGAATCACTCCGCACCGGAATTTGAGCAGGACCAGCTCAGAGAATTTCAGAGTTTTTATATGTGTTTATGTTGCAAGCTAACATGTTCGTACATAGAACATGGTCAAGACATGTCAAGACAAAGGGTTCCATCAAAGGAAGGGTGCGTTCGGACTGTTTGAGGTTTGGACTTACTACCTGTTTTCGGAAGATTCTTTGTATCATATGTACCTGTTTTCAGTATGTTTTCGGAAGATTCTTCGTATCCAGGTTTAGGAGTATTCTATTTGTGTTCATTTTGTTCCGCATGTTTATTTCGTCATGTTTCAATATTTCTCCAAACCCGTGTCTGGAAGTGACTCTTGCTGTGACGTGACGTGAAACTTGAAAAGATGGTTGGTTCTTGTAGTAATCCAACTATTACTTGACCTGGAGAAATTGGTTTTGGCATTCAATTCTACTTGGTAAGCATGTGTACACTGACATAGACTGTACACACAAACACACACACACAGTTCCTTTGTTAGTGTAGTTACTAGTGTAGTTGTGTGTGTGCGCGTGTGTACGTGTGTGTGTGTGGGCGAGCACGAAGCTTGAGGCTCAGTTTTCTGCAACTGGTGAGTGCGAGTTGCGAGTTGCCCACTTCTGCTTATTTGCGACCGGCCCAAAGAAGACCAGGACCAGACTTTCTGAGCGGTTGTCTTCGAAGACGGGGTTCCTGAAGCAGCAGGCGTCACATGTGTGGGCGCTAAAGCCATCTAAAGTTCTTCATGCCCTTGGATGTTGGATCAGAAGACCCCCAAAAAAACGGATTCCCGAGTGCTTCTCTCTTGTGCTATCTCCATGTTTCGGGTGTTCGTCACCGTGCTCTTTGATGCGTTCCAGGGACCGTATCAAGTGTTGCACCTGCTGTAGAGGCTCGAAGTTCACTTCCTGCATCCCCGTTTGGTGGATCTCAGGGATCAGATGTGAGAGACGCAAGGTGGGGCAGCTGTTTGTTTTTTTTCAGGGGTATGAATTGTTATGATGGTAATATATGGTAATATAATGTAATATATTTGTTTATATGATACACACATACAAGATGGCATATATATATATATTGTTTTGGCATTCGCTCCTGCAGAGGCTTGGGCCTGTCGGGTACACCCCAACGATGTTCAGCCACCACTGCAGGCGGAAGTCCGAAGCTCCCATTCGTCGCCGCAGTGCTGCTCAGGGGGTTCAGCCAAGATTTTGAAGGAAGAGATGGTTCATGCGAGAAATCAACTTCCTGTAAGTGAAACTGATGAGCATGTCCCTGTGAGAGCCGATCTGCCAAGGCTCCAGAAGGAAATCTGCAATTCCTGAAGGATATTTGCCGGCAGCGGCTCTCAGAGAATGGGGCAACTATGGGCTGCTGTTGGACCGTGTGCAACTTGGTGTAAGGTGTTAAATTTCTATATTATATATATATATTATATATATATATATTATATATATATTATATATATATTATATATATATTATATATATATTATATATATATTATATATATATATTATATATATATATATATGTATATTATGTTGGCTTATTTTGGAGAGAGAGAGAGAGAGGGAGAGCAATACATATAAACAGTCCGCCGGAATATGGCAAGGTTGCCCACTATGGCCATACCTATTCGTACTACTTATGTCCATCGTGGATAAAGATGTGGCTTTGAACTTAGACACTGCATACCAGACGAGAAATCCAAACAAATTACCTGTCCAAAGAATTTGTTATGCCGACGACACTGTTTTGATTTCTACCAATGCCGCGGCTGCGAATAGATTGTTATTGAACGGCAACAATGTGGTCAAGTTTCCAGATGGACAGAAATTGAACAGGGTGGAAGAAACAACATACCTTGGGCACCAGATCATGCCGGAAATGGACATGAAACACGAGATACAACACAAAATGCACCAGACATTGAAAACATGGTTCGAATTGGACACCTTCTGGAAGACAACAATTTGTTCTACAAGATGGAAGCTGCAAGTTTATTATGACATTATCAGAAACAAACTTCTCTATGGACTCGAGCCGTACACCTCACGCAAACGCAACAAAAGAAAGTGAATGTTTTTCCATTGCGGGGCCTACATAAAATCCTGGGTCTCAGCACAACTAATCAAATACAAACGAATATGTACTGCAAAGATCTGCAAAGCGCATATAAAGAAATCGGCCGCACACCTGGCACACCTAGCAAAATAAAACGATTCTCGGATTTATTAAAAGATGGGCAAGTGAAACTTGCTAGGCAGTGATCCCTTGAGGAGAGTTAGTTACAGGTAGTTGCAGGTAGTTATGAACGTAATTCAGCGAAACTACAATGTTGGGGAAAGAAGAGTGGGGGTCCCAGGCAACAGTGGTTATTGTATACTAGTAGATGTGTTTGGAAAAAATGAAAGAGGAACGTTCGAACATACTTTGAAAGAAAATCACAAATTGTTAGAACTTGTAAGAAGCCGTCAGTTTTGAGTATTGCTGTCGCATGCCCACAGTTTCACCCATGTGCCACGAGTTTGGCACGCCATGGCAGTCAAAAAATACATCTATACAGCATATTTATATACAGTATACGTCATACATCGTCATACTACTTATAGATGTTTGAACATAACATTTGAACACAAAGGCATTTAGGTACACCCATGCAAAGCGCGAAACCATTTGGCTCGCTAGAGTGGCTGTAGAGACATGATCCGCATAAGTCAAGCCGTTTGCATAGGTCCTGGAGGAGATAGATCAGCAGGGATGGAACAACATGTCACTGGGCCGCAAGGGCCGAGCTGCTGTGTGCTATCAGATGCCGTCAGGTCAGATGATTAGAACAGCTAACTTACCGGTCAATTCTATGGACATATTGTAGAGCTTCGCACACCGGCGACGCCGGTAGGGTCGGGGGAGGGAAAGAGAGAGGGGGATGTCATCTGAACTTGCGAACATGACATGCTGAGGGTCGGCGGCCTATCTTGGGGCTATGTTGGCACATCTTGGGGCTATGTTGGCCCATCTTGAGGCTATGTTGGCCTATGCCTAGTGTTGTAATTTACAGCATTTTGTGCTGTGAGATGGTAAGAACCCGTGTAAATACCACAGTTTTAGTCCCCGAAAGTGGCTAAAACACTCTTATTTACAGAGTTTCGTTCACATCACGATCTTCGATTTTTTGAAAAACGTGTAAATACCAGCGTTTTTTGCATTCATCAAGACAAAAAATCGGTTCAAAAAGTGCAAAAAATGCTATAATTTACAGGGGAGTGGCCCCGTCACAAGCAAAAAACTGCGTAAATACCAGCGTTTCGGCGTCCAAAAGTTGCCAAAACACCGCTATTTACAGTGTTTCGTGCCTTCCACGTTTGCTTGAAATTGCAGAAACATTGTAAATACCAGCATTTTTTGCGATCAACCCGCCAAAAATGCTGTAATTTATAATGTATTTTTGCTTGGCTTTCAAAAACACTGGTATTTGCAGTGTTTTGTGCATCTCGGGTCCAAAAAGTATTGGTATTTACAGCATTTTCTGCGTTTTTGCATGGCTCCCGCCAACGACGTTAAAACGCAAAAATGTTGTAATTTACAGCATTTTGTGACTTCCGAACAGCGAAAAATCGTCCGAAAAATGTGTCAAAACGGTACTTTTTTCCGATTTTTGGGACCTCCAAAACGCATCTTCAAATTTTACCCTCTTTTTGTCCACCCCAGACCCCGAAAAACGTGAAAACCCCACCAGGCTAAACGATTTTTGGGGAGGGTCGGCGGCAGGGGCGCGCCCCCGGGTAGCTAAAGCTATGCTTAGCTTCCCCACACTACACGGCGAGGCGTCGCCGGATTTTTGGGCTGATGCCCCTCGTCGGCTCCGCCGGACCACTCGGCCCTCCATTTCATCGCAGTGTGGGCGTGAAAGTTACTGAATGAGGACCTGCTTCAGAAATATATTCCTTAGGTTTTTTGGAACGTATTTGTTGGAATAGACGATTTTTTGGGGAGTAAGTGAGTTCCCGAAAGCTCCTGCGAAGGGTTTTTCCTAAAGAACTGCTGCCGATTTCAACTTGTTACTTCGTGTAAAGGCGCCTCTGTGCAAAGACTTCTCTGTGTAAAAGCTTTTGTGTGTAAGAGTTTCTGTGTGTAAAAACCACTTTGTGTAAAGACTTTTTTGTGTAAAAGCTTCTCTGTGTGAAAGCACGTCTTTGTAAAGATTTCTCTGTGTGTAAAAGCTTCCGTGTATAAAAACTCTCTGTGTTACTTCTCTGTGTAAAAGTTTCTGTGTGTAAACGCGTCTGTGTGTTAAAGCTCTCTGTGTAAAGACTTCTTTGTGTAACAGCTTTTGTGTGTAAAAGCTCCAAGATGTTTGTGTGAAAAGGCTCCTCAGAGGAAAGACTTCTCTGTGTAAAACCTTCTGTGTGTAAAAAGCTACTCTGTGTAAATGTGTAAAAGCCCCTGCGTATGTAAAAGCTTGCTGTGTGTAAACGCTTTGGTGTGTAAACGCTCCTCTGTGTAAAGGCTTCTCTGTGTAAAAGCTTCTGTGTGCAAACGCGTCTGTGTGTAAAAAGCCCTCTGTGTAAAGACTTCTTCGTGTAAAAACTTCTGTGAGTTAAAGCTCCTAGACGTTTGTCTGCAAAAGCACCTTAGAGTAAAGACTTCTCTGTGTAAAACCTTCTGTATGTAAAAAGCTCCTTTGTGTAAAGACTTCTCTGTGTAAAAGCCCCCGTGTGTGTGGGTAAAAGCTTCTGTGCGTCTCCTCCCTCCAGCTTTCTTTCGGGTCACGCTGTCGTCCAGTTTCAATCTGCAACGTTGCTTCTTGTGGAAGAGTGCAAAATAATGCAAAGATGTGAAAGCATCGCGCGTTTAAAAATTGAACATAAACAGCGCACCAAGTGCTGTAATTTACAGCATTTTGCGCTGTCAGATGGCAAGAACCCGCGTAAATACCACAGTTTTAGTCCCCGAAAGTGGCTAAAACACTGTTATTTGCAGGGTTTCGTTCACGTCACGATCTTCGATTTTTTGAAAAACGCGTAAATACCAGCGTTTTTTGCGTTCATCAAGACAAAAAATCGGTTCAGAAAGGGAAGAAAATGCTGTAATTTACAGGGGTTTGGCGCCGCCACGGGCAAAAAACTGCCTAAATACCAGCGTTTCGGCGTCCAAAAGTTGCCAAAACACCGCTATTTACAGTGTTTCGTGCCTTCCACGTTTGCTTGAAATTGCAGAAACATTGTAAATACCAGCTTTTTTTGCGATCAACCCGCCAAAAATGCTGTAATTTACAATGTATTTTTGCTTGGCTTTCAAAAACACTGGTATTTGCGGTGTTTTGTGCATCTTGGGTCCAAAAAGTATTGGTATTTACAGCATTTTCTGCGTTTTTGCATGGCTCCCGCAAAAGATGTTAAAACGCAAAAATGCTGTAAATTACAGCATTTTGTGACTTTCGAAAAGCGAAAAATCGTCCGAAAAATGTGTCAAAACGGCGCTTTTTTCCGATTTTAGGTACCCTCAAAACGGGGGGGGGGGGAATGCTCTTGGAGACGCTTATGAGCGACCCGGATCCCGGCCAAAAAGCTCTCCCCCACCCTCCTGAAGGATTTTTGGTGTTTTTCGGGGCCCGGCGTCGGAGGGTCGGCGGTTGGGGGCGCGCCTCACCTTAGAGCTCTAGTCGCTCTGGGACGCTCGTAGGGCAAGCCACTCGTGGGGAGCCGGCGGAGCCGAATTTAAGGGCTGACGCCCCTCGTCGGCTCCGCCGGATTTCTCGACCTCCATTTCATCGCAGTGTGGGCTTGAAAGCTTTTGGATGGGGACCTGCTTCAGAAATATATTCCTTATGTTTTTTTGAAAAAAGGTCATGGAATAGGAACTTTGTTGGAAATAGACGGCTTTTTTGGGGAGCAAGTGAGTTCCCGAAAGCTCCTGCCAAGGGTTTTTCCCGAAGAACTGCTGCCAATTTCAACTTGTTACTTCGTGTAAAGGTGCCTCTGTGCAAAGACTTCTCTGTGTAAAAGCTTTTGTGTGTAAACGTTTCTGTGTGTAAAAACCACTTTGTGTAAAGACTTCTTTGTGTAAAAGCTTCTGTGTGTGAAAGCTTCTCTGTGTGAAACGTCTGTGTAAAGATTTCACTGTGTGTAAAAGCTTCCGTGTGTAACAACTCTCTGTGTAAAGTGTAAAGGCTTCTCCGTGTAAAAGCTTCTGCGTGTAAACGCGTCTGTGTGTGAAAGCTATATATCTCTGTAAAGACTTCTTTGTGTAACAGCTTCTGTGTGTAAAGGCTCCTAGACGTTTGTGTGCAAAAGCTCCTTAGAGTAAAGACTTCTCTGTGTAAAACCTTCTGTGTGTAAAAAGCTCCTTTGTGTAAAGACTTCTTTGTGTAAAAGTTTTTGTGTGTGTAAAAGGTTGTTGTGTGGAAATGCTTTTGTGTGTAAAAGCTCCTCTGTGTAAAGGCTTCTCTGTGTAAAAGCTTCTATGTGCAAACGCGTCTGTGTGTAAAAACTGTCTCTGTCAGGCCTTCTTCGTGTAAAAAGTTCTGAGTGAAAAAGCTCCTAGACGTTTGTGTGCAAAAGCTCCTTAGGGTAAAGACTTCTCTGTGTAAAACCTTCTGTGTGTAAAAAGCTCCTTTGTGTAAGGACTTCTCTGTGTAAAAGCCCCTGTGTGTGTAAAAGCTTGCGGTGTGTAAATGCTTTTGTGTGTAAAAGCTCCTCTGTGTGAAGGCTTTTCTGTGTAAAAGCTTCTGTGTGCAAACGCGTCTGTGTGTAAAAAGCCCTCTGTGTAAAGACTTCTTTGTGTAACAGCTTCTGTGTGTAAAGGCTCCTAGATGTTTGTGTGCAAAAGCTCCTTAAAGTAAAGACTTCTCCGTGTAAAGCCTTCTGTGTGTAAAAAGCTCCTTTGTGTAAGGACTTCTCTGTGTAAAAGCCCCTGTGTGTGTAAAAGCTTGCTGTGTGCAAATGCTTTTGTGTGTAAAAGCTCCTCTGTGTAAAGGCTTCTCTGTGTAAAAGCTTCTGTGTGCAAACGCGTCTGTGTGTAAAAACTCTCTCTGTCAGGCCTTCTTCGTGTAAAAAGTTCTGTGTGAAAAAGCTCCTAGACATTTGTGTGCAAAAGCTCCTTGGAGTAAAGACTTCTCTGTGTAAAACCTTCTGTGTGTAAAAAGCTCCTTTGTGTAAGGACTTCTCTGTGTAAAAGCCCCTGTGTGTGTAAAAGCTTGCTGTGGGTAAATGCTTTTGTGTGTAAAAGCTCCTTTGTGTGAAGGCTTCTCTGTGTAAAAGCTTCTGTGTGCAAACGCGTCTGTGTGTAAAAAGCCTTCTGTGTAAAGACTTCTTTGTGTAACAGCTTCTGTGTGTAAAGGCTCCTAGATGTTTGTGTGCAAAAGCTCCTTAGAGTAAAGACTTCTCTGTGTAAAACCATCTGTATGTAAAAAGCTCCTTTGTGTAAAGACTTCTCTGTGTAAAAGCTGTAAAAGCCCCTGTATGTGTAAAAGCTTCTGCGCGACTCCTCCATCCAGCTTTCTTTCGGGTCACGCTGTCGTCCAGTTTCAATCTGCAACATTGTTTCTTGTGGAAGAATGCAAAGAACAGGTGAAAGCATCGCAGGTTAAAAAATTGAACATAAACAGGGCACAGAGTGCTGTAATTTACAACATTTTGCGCTGTCAGATGGCAAGAACCCGCGTAAATACCGCAGTTTTAGTCCCTCCCCAAAAGTGGCTAAAACACGGTTATTTACAGGGTTTCGTTCACGTCACGATCTTCGATTTTTTGAAAAACGCGTAAATACCAGCGTTTTTTGCGTTCATCAACGCAAAAAATCGGTTCAAAAAGGGAAGAAAATGCTGTAATTTACAGGGGTTTGGTGCCGTCACGGGCAAAAAAATGCGTAAATACCAGCGTTTCGGCGTCCAAAAGTTGCCAAAACACCGCTATTTACAGTGTTTCGTGCCGTCCACGTTTTCTTGAAATTGCAAAAACCGTGTAAATACCAGCATTTTTTGCGATCAACCTGCCAAAAATGCTGTAATTTACAGTGTTTTTTTGCTTGGCTTTCAAAAACACTGGTATTTGCAGTGTTTTGTGCATCTTGGGTCCAAAAAGTATTGGTATTTACAGCATTTTCTGCGTTTTTGCATGGCTCCCGCAAAAGACGTTAAAACGCAAAAATGCTATAATTTACAGCATTTTGACCATTTCGAAAAGCTGAAAATCGTCCGAAAAATGTGTCAAAACGGCACTTTTTTCCGATTTTAGGTACCATCAAAATCGGGGGGGGGCGGGATTATGCTCTTGGAGACGCTTATGAGCGACCCGGATTCCGGCCAAAAAGCTCTCCCCCACCCTCCTGCAGGATTTTTGGTGGTTTTCGGGGCCCGGCGTCGGAGGGTCGGCGGCTTGGGGCGCACCTCACCATAGAGCTCTAGTCGCTCTGGGACGCTCGTAGGGCAAGCCACTCGTGGGGAGCCGGCGGAGCCGAATTTTTGGGCTGACGCCCCTCGTCGGCTCCGCCGGACCACTCGGCCCTCCATTTCATCGCAGTGTGGGCGTGAAAGTTACTGAATGAGGACCTGCTTCAGAAATATATTCCTTAGGTTTTTTGGAACGTATTTGTTGGAATAGACGATTTTTTGGGGAGCAAGTGAGTTCCCGAAAGCTCCTGCGAAGGGTTTTTCCTAAAGAACTGCTGCCGATTTCAACTTGTTACTTCGTGTAAAGGCGCCTCTGTGCAAAGACTTCTCTGTGTAAAAGCTTTTGTGTGTAAGAGTTTCTGTGTGTAAAAACCACTTTGTGTAAAGACTTTTTTGTGTAAAAGCTTCTCTGTGTGAAAGCACGTCTTTGTAAAGATTTCTCTGTGTGTAAAAGCTTCCGTGTATAAAAACTCTCTGTGTAAAGGCTACTTCTCTGTGTAAAAGTTTCTGTGTGTAAACGCGTCTGTGTGTTAAAGCTCTCTGTGTAAAGACTTCTTTGTGTAACAGCTTTTGTGTGTAAAAGCTCCAAGACGTTTGTGTGAAAAAGCTCCTCAGAGGAAAGACTTCTCTGTGTAAAACCTTCTGTGTGTAAAAAGCTACTCTGTGTAAATGTGTAAAAGCCCCTGCGTGTGTAAAAGCTTGCTGTGTGTAAACGCTTTGGTGTGTAAACGCTCCTCTGTGTAAAGGCTTCTCTGTGTAAAAGCTTCTGTGTGCAAACGCGTCTGTGTGTAAAAAGCCCTCTGTGTAAAGACTTCTTCGTGTAAAAAGTTTCTGTGAGTAAAAGCTCCTAGACGTTTGTCTGCAAAAGCACCTTAGAGTAAAGACTTCTCTGTGTAAAACCTTCTGTATGTAAAAAGCTCCTTTGTGTAAAGACTTCTCTGTGTAAAAGCCCTGTGTGTGTGGGTAAAAGCTTCTGTGCGTCTCCTCCCTCCAGCTTTCTTTCGGGTCACGCTGTCGTCCAGTTTCAATCTGCAACGTTGTTTCTTGTGGAAGAGTGCAAAATAATGCAAAGAACATGTGAAAGCATCGCACGTTAAAAATTGAACATAAACAGCGCACAAAGTGTTGTAATTTACAGCATATTGCGCTGTCAGCTGGCAAGAACCCGCGTAAATACCACAGTTTTAGTCCCCCAAAGTGGCTAAAACACGGTTATTTACAGGGTTTCGTTCACGTCACGATCTTCGATTTTTTGAAAAACGCGTAAATACCAGCGTTTTTTGCGTTCATCAACGCAAAAAAATCGGTTCAAAAAGGGAAGAACATGCTGTAATTTACAGGGGTTTGGTGCCGTCACGGGCAAAAAAATGCGTAAATACCAACGTTTCAGCGCCAAAAAGTGGCTAAAACACCGCTATTTACAGTGTTTCGTGCCTTCCACGTTTTCTTGAAATTGCAAAAACAGTGTAAATACCAGCATTTTTTGCGATCAACTTGCCAAAAATGCTGTAATTTACAGTGTTTTTTTGTTTGGCTTTCAAAAACACTGGTATTTGCGGTGTTTTGTGCATCTCCGGTCTAAAAAGTATTGGTATTTACAGCATTTTCTGCTTTTTTTCATTGCTCCCGCAAAAGACGTCAAAACGCAAAAATACTGTAATTTACAGCATTTTGTGACTTTCAAAAAGCGAAAAATCGTCCGAAAAATGTGTCAAAACGGCGCTTTTTTCCGATTTTAGGTACCCTCAAAACGGGGGGGGGGGGAATGCTCTTGGAGACGCTGATGAGCGACCCGGATTCCGTCCAAAAACCTCTCCCCCACCCTCCTGAAGGATTTTTGGTGTTTTTCGGGGCCCGGCGTCGGAGGGTCGGCGGCTTGGGGCGCGCCTCACCTTAGAGCTCTAGTCGCTCTGGGACGCTCGTGGGGCAAGCCACTCGTGTGGAGCCGGCGGAGCCGAATTTAAGGGCTGCCGCCCCTGCCGCCGACCCCGGAAAAGAGAAACTCGCAATGGTGTCAGCTGGCTTCATTCGAATGTTCTGTGAGTTGTCAGCCTGGATGCTTTATATATACATTATATATATATGCATCAAATAGTATGTACTCGTGTGTTGAATTGACATTTTGCCAGTCCCTATCCCTGCCATGAAGCTCAAGCATCCATCCTTTTGCTTTCCGTTTTTCGGGGGTGGTGTGTCCTCCTCCCCGTGCGCGAGACATAGTCTTCGCACGGGAAAGGCACATCAGTGAATCATAAAGAGTTGTTTGAAAGCAA